TCCTTGGTTTCATCGTATTAACTAATAGTGTTAAGGCTAATCCTAATCGAATCAAGACCATTACTAAATAGCCAATACCTACTAGCATTAAAGAGCTTTAATCGTTCCTAGGTTTTGCTAACTTCTACCGTCGATTTATCGAAGGTTACTCGCGGTACGTAATGCTACTAACTGAGCTCACCAAAACTAAGGCCAACCTAACTAGAGAGTTTAAATAGACTAATAGAGCATAAGCCGCTTTTAACGGCCTAAAGCAACGCTTTACTAATGTCCCCTTATTGCACTATTTCGTGCTAAGCAAGTAGATCCGAATTGAAACTAACGCTTCACAGTTCGCTGTATTAGCCATTATATTACAGTAGGCTAATAATACCTATTAGCACCCGATTGCCTTCTTTTCACAGAAGATAATCGATGTAGAACGTCGCTACAAGACATACGAGTAAGAGCTCCTAGCTATTATCGAGGCCTTTAAGCATTAGAGGCACTATCTCGATAGTGCATAGCACACTATTTAGGTCTATACGGACTATAACAACCTCCGTAGAATTACGAAGGTTACTAGGGTTATGGGTCGACAGGCTAGATAGGCCGTCTACCTCGCCGGGTTTGATTTTAATATATTACATCGGCTAGGCGTAAGCAACCCTACTAATAGCCTATCGAGGCGACCTAATTACGATAGCGGGACTTAGCAATCTATTAATTTATTATTTCCAACCCTATAGTATAAGATTGCTATAGCCCGTATTGTTAATAAGTACGCGTAGGATAAGCGGCTTACCGGACTCCGCGACGGCTTAAAGTATATTAATGCTCTTGCTATATTGATAGTGCGTATTAAGGCAAGAGCTAAGGATACAGACAGGAGAAGTTATAATAACTCCCTAGTCGATATCGCTATATATAGTAATAGCGATCAAAGTACTAATGCAGTTAATCCGGCTGCTAGTGCTATTAGATACATACAATACGTACCTCGTTTAATAGCGAGGGTGCTACTAAATAACCTTGCAAATAGGGATAGTCAATCGTTTATAGATAAGCTATTACGGGCTTAGTAGAGGGACGCCTTTGCTACTAAACGTATAGATAAGCTTGTAAGTAGGCGAAAGACTCGATCTAGTAAGAGTAACAATTAGTCGATCGATAACAAAGGTTATTTAAAGTTTAAGGGCAGATACTATGTCCCCGCTAAACATTCGATCCGATAAGAGCTTCTCAAGCGACACTATAATAGTGAGCTTGCCGGTTACTATAGTATAGAGAGGTCGCACGAGCTACTATCGCGTATATACTACTAGCTAAATAGTAAGCGGGACATAAAGGACTACGTAAACACGTATGCCGTATGTTAACGAGTTAAGGCACTAAAGCATTAGCCTTTTAGCGAGTTGTCCTTATTGCTAATCCCTTACAAGCTATTTGTAGAGCTTACAATAGATTTTATTACAGGTCTTCCCTCTACTAAGCGAAGAGGAAGCAAAGACATCTTTAACGCTATCCTAGTCGTTATAGACCGATTTACTAAGGGCGCTCGATACATCCCGGCGCGCAAGGATTGGACTGCTATTAATATAGCAGAGGCGCTATAGACTAACATCTTCTATACCTATTAGGGGACCCCTAAAGGGATAGTCTCTAACCGAGGCTCGACATTCATATCTTATTATTAGAGTAAGATTTGCCTGCAGCTAAGACTCAAGCATCGCCTGTCTATAGCATTCCATCTATAAACAGATAGTTAAACCGAAAGGCAGAATGCTACGCTGCAGCAGTACCTACGTAGCTACATTAATAAGAACCCTAATAACTAGGTCAATCTCCTGTAGCCTGCAGAATTCGTATATAACAACAGTATACACTTATCTACTAAGGTTTCACTATATATAGCTATAATAGGCTAGAACGCCGCCTTACTATAAGACCTATTTACCTCGCTCGAGGCCGAGCGCAAGGAAAGGGAAGCGCGTTAAGTACTAACACCTAAGACGCTAGCGGCCATTAAGAGGGTTCAAAAGATGCGAGAAATTCACGCTATAATAGCTAACAAACTAGCAAAGGCCTAGGCCTATTAGAAGGCCTACTATAATAAACACTATACGCTAATAACCTTTAAACAAGGCGATATAGTTATACTTAGTACGAAGAACCTCCGCATCCGCAAACACCTATTACCTAATAGCAAAACACGCCCCAAACTAGCACTAAGGTACATTAGTCCATTCCGTATTCGAGAAGTTAAGGGCTCCTCCGCATAGGCCTATCAGTTGTAGCTTCCTCCTTATTACACTATCTATAACACCTTCTATATATCCCTCCTTAAGCTATATTACCTACGCGAGGGGGATAAAGCCCCTACTAAATACGAAGACATACTAGCGGATAGTAAAGAGCTATAGTCTATAGAACGTATTCTAGATCATCGGACTAGGCGAGGCAAGAAGGAGTACCTCCTAAGATAGCAAGGCTATTTACTAGAATAGGACTTATAGGAAGCTGAAGATTCCTTCAAGGATATAACCGAGTTATTAGATAAGTATTAGACTAGCGCGAAGGACAAGAAGAAGGCTAAGGGCCTATAATGTCGCCTAGGATTAATGCTACCCCCGGGGTACTATTAGCTAACTAATTAGAGATAAGCAATTGTTAGTAACAAAGGACAATAAGACTACGCTAGGCGCGCTACGACGCGTTAATTAATTAATCGCATACTCTTTTAAGGACTCTACCTCTTTACTAACGCGCCCTGCAGGTCCCCCTCTTATTCCTTTATTCTGTCGAGGCCTCGAGGCCTAGGCGATCGGCGAGGGCGGCGTCGCGCTTGTAACGGCACGGCCGGCGCGGCTATGTTAGTAACGGTGTTGCGGAGTATATTGTTAGTAGAAGGAGGAGATTAGAAGCGAGGTAAAGTTAGCGCTAAGACGACTAGCGTCGCTATTATTAACATCACTTGCTATTATCGCTACGCCTATAGACACAACCTTACCTATACTACGAGCCTAAGGCACCTTTAATCAAACTTTGATTAAAGCTTTGAGCCTGTTAAAGGTTTAATTAAAACTTTGAGGCCGAGTCAAAACTTTAAGCCGCTTAAAAGGTTAAGTAGACCAATAGACTAACTAACTAAGGGCAAAACTATAGAGCTAAGCTAGCCGGGGTCGATCTTGCGGACAATAGGTTACTCCTCGATCTATCTAACCCTTTAAGCGAGGCGAACCTCTACTACTGCACTTATAATAGCCTTTACCTATAGAAACTAGACGAGCTGTGTTTTTTAAAAAGATAAGATAAGATTGACACTTGAAGGCTGCCAAACCTAACCAATTTGGGCTAGTGAAACTACGATAGTAAATAATAGCCCTCGTAACAATAAGAACAACCCTCGGAAGCGGACAAACCCTCGGAGCGGACATTTCTAGGTCTATTAGAGTAGACGCAAAGAACTCGTACGACATTACTTAGAACGGAGGCAGTGCTATAATACCTCGTACGTCTACCTATTATAGTAGGGAAGACGCGCTCGTATTGTAATTAGTCGATAGTCCTTAATTCTTATAGCTTTATATCCCTTTACTTTATTGTATATAAGGATAGCGCAGTTAGAGTTGTATATTGTATTGTTTAGAGGTGAGGTTTAATATAGTTACATAATTAGGTAGTTAAGTGTTTAATTTAGCGCGGCTAAGCAGCTTATTAGACTTGCTAAGTTAGCGGTAATAGAGGTCGGGATTAGAATATAGGCAGGCTACGAGGGCGCGGCCTTTAGAAGGGAAGTATGTATTAGGGCTAAAGAGGTTATACGTGATTAGCATATAACTAGGCCGAGTGAAGCCAGGGTCTTAATGCCTTAGGCAGGGCTTAGCGCTTAGCGTTAGGCTAACTCTCCTACCTTCCTCCCTCTCCTCCTAGCTCCTTATCGAATACTACTTGTACCTACTACCACCCTATCTACCTGCTAACATACCCTTTTCACAAATACCTATTAATTATTAAAAGTATACTTAATCGATATATCTCGGTTAATTAAGTATACTTAGAATAGCGGCTTTAGCTAGAGTCCGAGTTTATAGAAGCTAGTTTTCTAATATATATACTATTATACTATTACTATTCTATAATACTTTATTTTTATATTCTATACGCTTACTATATATCCTAAGATCCTTTATTTATACTATTTAGTATATCTATATATAGTATAGATAGTATATTCTTAGTATCGAAGGCTAGTAGCTAGCCTAATTCTACCCTTTTATAGAAGCTTAGAGGTTGCTAAGCTTAGCTTAGCGGCACTTAGCTATTCGACTAAGCTTTATACTATCTATTTCTATATTACTATATTCTATTATAATATATTAGTAACGATTATAGAATCGTAAAACCGGATGCTGCGATTATTCTAGTGCGAAAATTGGTACAATTGCATCGCTGTAGGGCGCACGTTAGTTCGATGGGGTATCGATACAAAACGACGAGGTGCTTACAAATCCGCGCTAACGAAGGGGTGGCATCACGAAGTCCTCCTTGCACACGATAACGATCGATTCCTCAAGCTGCAATTGTCGCCGCCGCCGCCGTCGCCGTCGCCGACTACATGGATGTACTGTACTGCGCCGAGGAGGATTTTGAGGAGGCGTTGTAATAAGCAGCGTGGCGAGGTGAGTTGAAGCAGCAGGACTCTCCGTGATTGTCTTAATCATCGTAGAACTACACGGCCAAGTATTCTAAAGCGAGAGCGAGAGTCTGACTTTTGTTCCACCACAGCCCATAGCTACGCCAGTGCATGTTTGTTGTCGGAGCAAGCATCTCCGGAGCAGAATTGCTTGCACACACCGCTGTGCTATGGGAGGAAGCACGCACTGAGAAGAGCTGGCAGTATTGGAAGCATAATGGCGCCGGCGCCGGCGCAGCCTCCCGCAGTGGTCATTATCGCGAGGTAAGGAGAAATACGGAACAGAGATGAGAGCTCGCGTTGCACTTGATCGCTAACATGCGCCGTCTTCTTGCGCAGACATGGCATGCGACTGGACGCCGCAGATCAGTCGTGGCATCTATCGACTCCGACCCCCTACGATCCTCCGCTGACCTATGGAGGTTGGAACCAGTGTAAAGCGCTCGGCGTGCGCATAGCCAGCTTGCTCGATGCCCGCGAGAAGGAAATCAACAATGCGCCTGTGGAGAATGGAAGCAGTGGAGCGCATGCGCAGCGACGCAGGAAGAGGACGCACAAGGTCGTCATTCACACTTCGCCGTTTTTGCGATGTCTACAGACCAGCGTGGCCATAGCGGCCGGCATGGCACAATACGAGGCCCCAAAAGAAGGATTTGGTAGCAGCACATCGAGAACGTCTCGGACGCCTTCGCACTTGCATTCCAAGTCGCCCAGCCTCCACGCACTCAGCGGTTCAGGCTCTCCTCTACTCACACCCATATCAGAGCCAAAGCACGATCTTGCGCACCAGCTGGCAAAACGATCGCTGCACGAGCATAAGCGTCATCGGAAAGCGAAGATCCGAGTTGACGCGTTCTTGGGAGAATGGCTCAATCCGCAGTACTTCGATCAAATTACGCCGCCTCCGCCGAGCGCCATGATGGTGGCAGCAGCAAAAGCAGAGCTGATGCAGAATGACAACATTGACTTGTTCACGCCATCAGCTACCCTCTCCAACAAGTCTTCTAACAACAGCCTGTGGACTCGACCAAACACGAGTCGAGAGAGCACTTTGGACGACTGGAGCAACATCACTGATTCACTTCGCGCCAGCGTTGGCCGCAAGTCGAGATCGAACAGCATTGACAGCGTTGGGAGTAACGATAGCAATCACAGTCCCAGGAGCTCGGGCCGTAAGTCGCCCTTCCGACCAGGACATGTCCTACAGCCGTTGACCTCGACCATACCGAAGCCTGAATTTTCCGTCTACCACCCTCCTATGCCTTCGTACGCTCTTTCCAATTCCGAGCAGATCCCTCGAGGATATGTTGCACATGCACGCAATGCTACCACCAACGTCGACTATCATTGGGATAGCAGCCGTGCTCCTCTACACTGGGGCGGAGGGGGCGAGTTCGGTGAAGAGTGGTCATCTATGCACAAGCGCTTCAGAAGAGGCTTCAACAAGGCTATCGAGTGGTACAGCCAGCACGGTGCTGATGATCGTGGGGAAGATGCGCTAGGCTTCGACCAGGCCGAGAGACCACATATCTATCACGGGCATGAAGATGAAGACGAGGACCTGGTCCTAATCATGGTCACCCACGGAGCGGGCTGCAACGCGCTCATTGGTGCCTTGACAAATCAGCCTGTGCTTCTAGACGTCGGCATGGCCAGTCTGACGATGGCAGTGCGAAAGGACAACGCGCCCCCTTTGCAACTGCCACTGGGCTCACCTGCTCTCACGCCAGATCCGACCGCTGATCCGGCTGCCATGCCTGTTGGCCATCCACGACGAAGCAGTCTAGACATTGGGCTCAGTGCAATATACGAGATGAAGCTTGTAGCATCATCAGAACACTTGCGAGCTGGCGCAGATCCTGCTAAACAGCCTGCGTCTTCAGTGCCACAGAACCTTAAAGCTGCGCAAGAGGCTCTCGCCAGATACAAGCAGTTTGGAGCCGAAGCACATGGGATGGCTGGCTCGGGCATTGAGTCTTCTTGGAATCTAGGAGAGCCGAGGAAGAACAACTGCAATTCTTCTCTGGGCTCCATTCGACGGCCCAGCTATCCCAATAACGGTGCCAGAAGTTACTCACACCCACACCCACACCCCGCAGCCCAGACATCACCTGCTGTGTCGCCAGGCCTATGGACTCCACCAGCAGGAGGCACGCCAAGACTTAATGCCCAGAAAGTGAAAGAGGAGAAGGCTGCGATCTTCTCCAATCTCAACGACACCGGCGGTCGCACGAGCCCGGGTCGAGACATGATGTTGGACTTCAGTAGTTCGCAAAACGGATCATGTCCTACCACCGCCACAGAATCCACCGCGCTCCCTCCGCCAGCCCTACCAGTAGCTGAGAGTAACACGTCTTCCGTGGCCAAGCCCGATGCCTCGCAAAAGGTCGACAGCGTTACTGGTGAAGGATCGGATGAACTTGGCGACCTTCCCAAAGTCCAAGGAGAAGCGCCAACGTCACTCAGCAGAGGCCTTAGCGTCAAGGGTCTCTGGGGCAAACCAAGCGGTGGCGCCAAAGTGGCGAGGACCTGGAAGAGTGAACCGAAACGAAGATGGACTGTCAATGAAAACGATTGACATGAGCTCGAACACTGGCACGAGGCGCTGGAGGAATACTCGATCTGACACCATCTGCTCACTCGCTCGCGATGGTAATTGAAGACGAGGACAATCATCCCGAGGCGTTGGTCTGAATTTTGTGCTGGTGTTCGGAGAAGACATGACAAGCCTGCCACGTATAGTGGCTTAGGCGGGCTACCACGCTCATTACTCAAGATTTTGGGGGATCTCGATACAATTTGAATATGCGAATAAGAGGAGCGAATTATTGCTTTCAGGCATGGCGATGGAGTTCTCGGGCGTGGTCGACGACGATCGTTGTGTTTCTCAGCTTTGCATGATATCCCACTCCAGCGTTGTATAGAACTGGCGGAAGTTCCAAAAGATTGAGGCGGAGATGCATCGGGTTTCCTGAGAAGGGACATGTCTAATAGGCTACAGGATGGCCTCTATAGCTTTCGACAGCTCGAACTCCGAAACACAAGGCTTTTGGAGCTGTAGCAGAGGTGTTTCAATCACACCATCTCGCGACTCGATCCCGTACAATCTTGACAACGCCTGAGAATATGCCCCACGCATTCATTCGCAGACGGCAAAGTTCTACGCTGTGCAATCATCTACGAGCGATATGCAAACAGATTGACTGAATTTCGAATGAACAAGCCGGCGACAACCTTCTACCCGAACTCTTCACGCGTTGGTTGATGGACCATCGAAGTCGACGACGATAGCACCAGTGATGAGAGCCTGAAAGAGCGATGAAATGGATGTGTTTCCCCATTGGATGACTTTGATGTCTCACGGCAAAACGTAGTTTCTGTGAAGTGGATGAATATGTTTCGCTATCTTCTTTCTTCCATCTTCCCCGGTGGAGCTAGCGAGGTGGAAGCTTTGCTTAGAGATTGTCATCAATCAACGCTCTGGTCGATTCTCCATCCAAGTAGTTGGCTATTAAGGTCGTAGGACGTGACCTCAAATTCAACGTCCGAGTCGTTCGGATGTTCAGGATTTCTCAATGTGGTAACAAAGGACGTGGTCTCGCGAGGCTACAGCTCGCATCGCGTCTGTTGAGGCTACTGGTCTTCAAACGATGTTTTTCGATATTGCTACATGCCAGCGCTGAGTCCGAATGGCTTCGGTGGATATTCAGGTCTGAAAATTCTTTCCGTATCGGCCACGGACGTCCGAGCAAGAAGCGTCTCAACAATGCCTGCGCGATCGGAAACATTGATCTCAATCAGGTTTCTTGCCGTCCGCCCAACTGGGTCGAATGTTTGTGCAGATTCCAACATAATCGTCCCATCGATCTTTATCCAGAGCTCCATCACCGGTCCAGAACATCGTCCAACCGCTACCAGGTATCTGCCAACTACCAGATGAGCGTTCGAAGTACCACTTATTCACCGGGTTGTTCGTGCGACTGCGCCACAAGACACCATTTGGGAAGCAGGTCTCGACCATTGCCTGGAAGAGGCTATCGGCAACCCCATTTGAGCCCTGTGAAGATTGCAGGACCGCAAATTTGTCGAGATACGGTACTAGCCGTGATGGGTCTTGTGTGTTTGGGGGCATCTCCCAGGTGAAGATTGCGCAGCCTTCGTATTCACCGACAACCACGATCCCTGCGATGCGTCCCTCCACTCTCGAGAGATAGTCAGAGACATCCAGCTTTCGGCGAAAGCTGTCTTCGATGAGGTACACCAGACGTCGAAAGTCGATTCGCGTATCATCTTCGAGTCTCATACTGGTTGTGCCATGGGCAGGTCTTTGCCAGCCGCAATCCGCTGGCATGATGCTCAGCGGCACACCCCTTTTCACTAAGGTAGCGCTAAACTCGTTGGATGGAGCATTTCCCAAAGTCGACACCCGTCCTGAAGGTAACGAAGAAGAGATCAGAGGCTTGTTGGTTAATAAGTTGTGAATCAGAACATTCTTCTGTTTTGTGCCCACGCCGAACGTTGGATCTCTCGCAGCGCTATGTGTCGATGAGTTGGCTGCAGTCTCTGGGCTGACAATAAGGCCGGAAGAAGATGATGGCAAGATCGCCAAGCATCTCTTAATCGTATCGAGATTTTGACGATGCTGGAGCGCTTCTTGGGTAGCTTTGGATTTTGCTAGCTGATCATCGATGGTTTCAAATTGCTGCGACAAGTTGATAAGGCCTTGCACGCAATTACCATCCTGGCCTGGTATGCCACCAACGCAATCCACGATGATGATCCTGTCGGCTTTCGGAATTGATTTGGATTGGCAAAGCCCAGTCAGCACATCAGTGCTGGAAGCAGCTTGTAGCTGACCAGAAGATGTCGAAGCCATTGAAGGCAAGATCAGTACTGAGCCTCGCTCGAGGGGACCTGAAAGCTCGTCCGGAAACGCAAGTGTGATAGAACTAGGCGTGGAAAAATTGTGGGTTGCCAATCCGGTTTCCGTCCATTCAAGAGCACTTGGGAATGACTGCGCTCCTTCCGGACAATGCCTTTCTATAACTTGGCAGAGGCGTTCTGCTTGTTTGATAAAATGGGATCGCAAAGTCTTGCTGTCGTTGGCATTGCGATCGATGCAAGTGTTGGTATCCACCACGATAATTATTTGCATGCCCAGTTTGGTTAAATGGGACAGAGTTATAGCGAAGCCTTCAATCGTCGTATCGTCGATCGTCTCGAGAGACCTGATGCAGACCAAAGCAAGGTGGGTATATAGGTGCTGCTTAACCTTAAGGGCACGCAAGTCTGTTCCTGCTCTGACCTTCGGCTCATCGATACGCTCCAAGGTGTGGACTGGACGAGACTCATGCAGATGAGACGTGACTTGGGTCTTCTCTGCATTTTTCTGCCTCGCTACTTCTTTCAGAGGGAAGTCGAGTCGGGCGAGGTATTGCTTCGCGTCTCGTCTCGTCACATTTGCGTTCAAGATGTTGACGAGTAGCTCTCGCTCAATGGCAGGATTCTGGTAGGCAACCCCGGGTCTTCGATAAGTTGGCGTTCCTGCATAGTGTCTTATCGAAATCAAGATTGACTTCCGCAAGATCTTGGAGCGTCTGCTTATCATCATATTAGAGAATGAAATTAGGAGTGGCAACGAATGTCGTCCTGAAAGGCAGAACCTCAGCTCGCACTTTCACCGTTGGCTGGACCCAAATGCCATCTAGTCCAGCACGGGACGACATTGGATCCAGTCCACAGCACGTGATCGAAGTTGATGCCATCCTCACAAGACTTTTACCATATCTGGTTGATTGAGTACGATTGCCTGAATCAGTATGACCGTCACCATTGACCACGATAGTGGCCGGCCAGTAGTTGTGGTCAGCATCGTGATGGTGCAGTGGGGAGTCCTCATGCATACTCGAAATGGCGTAGTTTGCGGAAAGATCCGAGTTCTCTGAAGCTGCGTACAGTACCTTGCTAAGTTGCTAACCTTCTTGCCCGTGCCGAACCTACTGTCGCAACCTTGAGCAACGCTCATGGTATTGTATCTACCTTGACCCTGCTTCAAATTCACAAGGGGCAGTGCCAGAATTGATAGCCTCATAGCTTCAGACTTTGGCCCGGGAGCTGTAAGGCAAGATTTATGCATCTGACGATGAATTTGAAGCCGGAGCGGAGCAGTCATTATGCCTTAGGTCTCGTGACTGGGTTGACGAGTCGTGCGCGAGAAGGACGTAGTACGACAGCTACACAATACTGGCCCGAACATTATGTGCATCGTAGAGCAGTCCAACATGGTTGATCAGCTAGAGAGTGCTGGTTCTGTCGCAGGATATCCGAGACCGGAAATGACGAGACGTGATTCCGCTGCCTCGACTTGGAAAGCTCTACCGGTGAGCCTGTCCTATAGTCATGGTGAAAGTCGGAAAGACATCGAGAGATATGTCCAGCTTGCATGGTTGCTGCTCCTATCCACGTATGATGGAACTGTTCAGCCAACTTGCTGGTTCCGAAAGCGCGGCGAGACCGTTTGTACCAAGCTGCTATTCGCATCGATCGATCGATCCATGGCTTTGCGGGATCATGAATTTCAGACACGAGAGCTCTCAACAAATAATCCTGAGTCGCGCGGGAACGCAAGTACGGTAATTGCGAAAGGACCACTCATGGAAGCCCTGGATTGGGTCACTTCAGGTGACGCAGAAGTGAGATCTGAAATTGTCGACTTCGTTCTCGTGTTGGACGATGATGAGAATTCTGTCCATCTGCTTTTCAAGCAAGGCCAGCATGGTGTCCAGGACGATGATGTTACTGGTCGTATCGAGACGTTGAAATCGATTCTGTCCGTCATCCTTGAGTCTTCTACAATCGTATTAGGAGATGCGGACTTTCTCAGCGACTACGATAAACGCCGAATCATCGAATGGAACCGGCCCATGCCTGATCCTCCGCTCGACCTTACTATTCCCTCAGCCTTCGCGACAATAGCCAGAGCAAGTCCGAATGCCTCAGCAATATTTGCTTGGGATGGAGGGATGACATACGATGAGCTCGACATAGCTTCGTCCGGCATTGCATCGCTTTTGAACCCGACAGAAAATCGCGAATCTGGAGCCATGATCTTGTTCATCATGAGAAAGTCGAAATGGGCCTTGGTGGCGGCTCTAGCCATTCTCAAGTCTGGCAAAGCAATCGTCCCACTTGACCCAGATTGGCCGAAAGCCAGAATTGATCAAATCATCGATCTCACCGGAGCTAGAATGGCCGTTTGCGACGAGAATACCAAAGACCTTCTTGAGCTGGACAGGGTTTCTGCAACAATCGTTCCTTCACCGGCCGTCTCGCCTGCAAACAAGCGTTCTTTTGAAGATTCCTGCACGTCGAAAGATGTGGCATTTGTTCTGTTCTCATCGGGAAGCACCGGCGTTCCCAAAGGCATGCTGAGAGAGCATGGAACTGCATGTACAGGATCTTATGCACATGCTCGAGCAATGCACCTGGACAGTACCAGCCGCGTTCTGCAGTTTGCCAACCATGTCTTTGACGTCGCAATGCTCGGTAAGAAGCGATGCATTTCGTACTTTGTCGCGTCAGGAGCTGATTCTTGAGGGCAGACTTCTTTACGACGCTTCTCATGGGAGGCTGTGTATGCATCCCTTCCGACTTGGATCGCAAGAACGATGTAGCAGGATTCGTCAATCGCTCCCAAGCCAATTGGGCCCTCCTTACTCCTACCGTAGCCGAACTTCTCGATCCGTGCACTGTTCCGAGTTTCAGGTTCGTGACTCTGGGCGGGGAGTCCATCAAACCTGCGACTTTGGAGAAATGGCTGAAGGTTTGCCGGGTAGGTATCAACTACGGATCTGCGGAGGTGGATGTCACGCACGTCCGAGATGTGTTTGACGCTTCAAATCCTTCCAATGTAGGCCTACGCTTACCAAGCTGCTTGGCATACATAGTGGACTCAGAGAATGCCGCCAACGTACTGCCGGTAGGAGCAGTTGGGGAGCTGGTTATAGCCGGATCAACAATGGCCCGCGAGTATCTAAATGCTCCTGAAAAGACGGCACAAGTGTTTATAAGCACACCCCAGAGGTGGTTCACTCGAGGTTTCGTCGAAGAAAGCAGTGCGCTGGTGTCTCGCTTATACCGCATGGGTGACCTCTGTCGGCAAAGACATGACGGCTCGTTTGACTTCGTAGGCCGCAAGGACTTCCAAGTGAAAGTGAATAGTAAGTCCACCGATGTGCGCTTAGTCGAGCGTTGTCGTTGACCACTCATGCTCAGGTCAAAAGGTCGAGCTTGGAGACATCGAAAGCAGACTCTGCCAGCATGCCGCAGTCAAGCAATGCATAGTCTTGTATCCGCTGCAAGGCCCATACTCAAGACGCCTCGTGGCGGTCGTCCAGTCGCACGGCGAGTGCTCGCATCGAACGCGGCACGATCGAGCCGCAAAGGAGGCTGTATCGGTGCTCAGCTTCCGTTCCATGACCGACTTTCTGTCTCGCAAGCTGCCATCGTTCATGCTTCCGAGCGTTCTGATCAGGCTGAAAACCATGCCTTACACGCCAACCATGAAGATTGATCGCAATCGGCTCAAAGTGTGGCTGATGGAGGACGATGTCGGGGGTGAAAGTGCAGGGGCAGGGCCAGGGGAGATATGTCACATATCTACTGCCCTCGACGGCTCGGCACTCTTTGCGGAGGAGTTGACAGCAATGAGGCTGTCATGCATCGTTGCGGATGTCGTCGCTGACAGAGCCTCAGGCATATGGGCGTCTGTGCATGGGCATGACAACCGTCTTGTCGACATTGGCATCGACTCGGCGCAGACGATGCAACTTGCTTCCAAGATTCACCAGGAGTTTGGAGCCAAGGTTCTCGTCGAGGTGCTGGCCGATCCGGACATGACAGTCCGCAAACTGGCAGCTCTGCTCGGCACCACGACGTCCGGGTCGGGCGATCAGGATGTGCACACGAGAATCAAGGAAAGGGTACACTTCCTAAAGGAGCAAGTTGCTCACGTGTCACAAGCAGTGCTTGGCATCGGGGGTTCGGATCGGAAAATCTCCATCCCGAGATCAACGAAACGACACGTCCTCCTCACGGGAGCAACCGGATACTTGGGCCTAGCTATCCTCCAACACCTCCTCACATCGGACCAAGTCGCTTCAGTCGTGGTGTTGGTCCGCGCCGACGGGCCTGTTCAAGCCGGAGAGAGAGTGAGGCACGCCCTCGCCGCGGCAGGATGTCCTCCCGATGACCAAGAAAAGCTGCGTGCATGGCCTGGAGATTTGTCCAGAGCCAGACTGGGCCTGGACGAGGAGCAGTGGCACGAGCTCACGAGTGAAGAGGAGCGAATAGGCCATGATGGAGCAAACGTCGATACCATCATCCACTGTGGAGCTGTGGTTGACTGGTCAAAGAGCTATGAGCAACTGCGTGCCGTAAACGTGGGCTCGACGGAACAATTGATCAAGGTGACTCGAGAATCGCCTCACATACAATGCTTCATCTTCATCTCCGGAGGAAGATACCCCGACCCAAGGCAGAACCCCGATCGAGACCTCGAGGCAATGTATGCGGAGACCGCCGAAAGCACTGGATATGCGCAATCCAAGTTTGTGGCAGAGCGAGTGGTCGAAAATGTCCGGCGTGTCTCTTCTAAGAAGTCAATACACATTGTCAGCCCTGCATATTTGATCGGCAGTGGAAGGACTGGCGCCGCAAATCAAGATGACTACCTTTGGCGCATGGTTTGGGCGGCCGTACGTGCCAGAGCATATAATTCGGACGAAGATCACCACTGGCTTTTTGTTGCTGAAACAGATTCCGTTGCTAGACGGATCGTTACTTTGGCGTCGCAGGATTCGGCCGATCGGGTGGGCATGCATCTCAACATCCTGGATGGCTTGGGCGTGCTTGAGTTCTGGAAGATTGTTACCGATGTCTCAAAACTTTCTCTCGCACCAGAAAGCGCTGATATCTGGATTCAGAAAGTCAGGTGCGACATGGAAGATACCTCCGATCATCTGCTCTGGCCCCTGGCAAATGCCCTCGCTCTCAACAATGGACATCTTACGAAGTGCTCCTGCTTGACAGCAGACATGGAATTGGAACACGCATCGAGACACGTCAGTACAGCCGTGAGACGAAACCTAGAGTACCTTTCGAGTGTTGGCTTCTTTGGTCGAAGCTTGAAGCTTTCTCCCTGATGGGACCGGTCAAGAGGCTGGTAAGGACATAGTAGACTGCTAACGTTTGCAATCAACATCTCAGCATCCTAACACCGAGAACTCTGAGGTGTCTTCCTTAACTGCATGCGAGCCCGGTCCCTCTCCTGCACGCAATTCACGTAGCGCATGCAGCACAATTCGCTCGTAACCTGTTGCCGCACCCAACAAGTCCGCTTCCGTGAGTGACTCGTGATCAGTGTGCGCAACGAAGATCGTCCCAGGGCCGAATAGGTACCTCTTCTGATTCGGCACTGTCTTTCTCAGCCATGGTATATCAGTACCGTAGTTCACTGTCATCACATCGAACCCTGGCACATCAGAGTCGAGATCGATAGGCCCGTATCCTGCGCTACCGAAATCGAGCTCCACAACATCCGATGCTTTCATGTCGCTACTCAAGAAAGGAGACACAGCCTCGTGCACAGCATGAGTAATGGCATTTTGGATATCGCCAGGCGATCCATCTGCAATGCGAACAGCGAGACCAGCCGATGCACTCTCAGCCACGACACCGAGCGCTACGCCTCCTTCTATGAGGCCAAGATTTATGGTCGTCTTGCCATACTTTTCACTCTGCGGGAGATGGTCGCCAAGATGGCGAAGGCGTGCTACAGCAGCGACGAGAATAGCCGTCGCACTCCTGCCCAACCACGGATATCCTGAATGCGCCGCCTGGCCTTTGGCATGAATGTGTGCGACTATGATACCCTTATGGCCTGCCACCAATCTGCCTTCCGTCGGCTCGCCAAAGACGACAACGCGAGGCCTCAGTTGCAAGTTATTCGCGAATTTCATGCCCACGCCTCCAACTTCTTCCCCGACAACAAAGAGCATGGACACATCTGAAGGAGAGATTTGCGAGGTTGCGAGAAGCTTGTTGACTGCTAGCACTTGAGCAGCCACGCTACCCTTTGCGTCGACGGAGCCTCGGCCATGTATTGTTCCGTTGCTGCAGCGCTTGTATGGAATGAATGGTGGTACCTTTGCGCATTATCAGCCATTTGAGGTCCTGTTCACGCCGTGCAAGGCATGAAAGGGTCTCACAGTATCGATGTGGCTTGTGAGCATCACTTTCGCGTCTCTAACATCGCCCGGCCACGCAAGCACGTTGAATCGCTCAGGCTGGCGGGAGAGGTATTGCTTTTCGACATTATAGCCTTGCGCCTGTAAGCTTTTGGCAAGCCAATCACCGACCGGCTTCTCGTTCCCAGAGATGGACTCGATCTCTACCAAGTCTCTGTGGAAGGATATGAGGTCGTGAGCAAGGCATCGGTCTCGCAGTGTCGCATAGCGCCGGCACGCATGTGATACACGCAGCCGCTGAGCGGCTATCATGTTAGAGCCGGGCGACAGCAGAAATGAGGCTTGGCGGAAGAAGTTCATGGCACTTCAATGCGTGAATCGACACAGCACGAGTCTTGTTTGACCACGATCACTGTGCAAATACACATGAGTCTTGGTGCAATTGGATCTGCCATGGCATCACTGTCTGATCAGGCTGAATTACGGACTTACACGTCAGCGAAGGCCCCGCAATGCCATTTCTTCTGGCACGTCGTCTGCATTGATTGAGTGGTCCCTGTCCTCGTAACATCGCGATGATGCATTTTTCGTGGACTGTCACCTGGTGGCCAAATGCCTATCTCTCTCTCCCGTCCACTTCACCCCGGATTATCGCCCGGGGAAGCGTGACGATCGAGAGACTAGGGCATATCCTGGGTCGACATTCTGCCCCTGCCCCTGTAGAACTTTGACTAGCTTTGTGGTTGGCTCGACGTCTCTCGGTCCTTCCGCTCCCTTCATAACTTTACCCAGACATCGTGGCATCTCATACTCATGGGATCGAAGGTGCTCTACTGAGGATCAAGCTCGATTTCTCACATTGATATGCTCTGAGGTCTAGAAGCTACCTGCTTGCGGTTCATTTGTGCTGGGATCGAGGTATCGCCTATTTGAGGCTGGTCAACAATTAGGGCTCATGGTCCCAGCACGCTAATATTCAGGGTAGACTGGGCCAGAAAGCTGCACACAGTACCTTTGTACATGTGGAATACATCACGTCGCTTCTTGCTGGCCGCCTCTGGATCATCCGATCTAACAATGCTCGCCTCCTTGTCCAGCCTCGTAAGCACTTTGCGCTTCTTGGCATTTTCCGTGTCAAACTCTTGCCCACATTGTTCGATGCTGGCCTTGTATATTGTCTCGGGACGGATTCAGGTGGCCATGAATAAGGGCGCGCCTAGTAACCGAGAACTTCAGGTCCGATAGTCTCTCCAGCGTTAGGACTTTCTAGCCTGTACACAATCCGGGCTTGATTTATTCACTCGCAACGATGGAATACTGCTCGTAGGTCTGCTTCATCTCTATCTTGAAAGAAGTCGCGTTCTGATTTCAGCCTGTACAGTCTCGGTCGTTCTGGGCTCAAAGTCTCCCGCATCATCCTCGGCTGTATGACTTTTGGCTCTCCGCATTGGCAACCTTGGATCCTGAACGCAGAGGCTGCTCTTCCATTGTTGAAGCATGCTTTCGACATCGGCATTAACACATGGGACACCGCCGACGTATACAGTCATGGCGAATCAGAAAGGATCATTGGAGAGGCGATCAAGCAGTTCAAGCTACCCCGACACAAGCTGGTCATCATGACAAAATGCTACTTTCCAGTCTCTGAAGATGGTACACAGCCTCCATTCAACATGTTTGTGAGGAATGATGGAAAAGATGTGAACGGCATGGGATTGTCCAGGAAACATATTTTCGATGCCGTGGATAGCAGTACAAGCCGCCTGAAGACGTATATCGATGTGCTTCAGATACATCGTTTGGACCGGGAGACAGACAAGACCGAAATCATGAGAGCGTTGAATGACGTCGTGAACTCTGGTAAAGGTACAGCAACAGATGCTACGACTTTAGAAGCAGGCTTGCAGCTTACTGACTCTACTTAGTCCGGTATATTGGAGCTTCGTCGATGGCAGTGTGGGAATTTCAGATGTTGCAGAATATCGCAGAGAAGCATGGATGGCACAAGTTCATTTCTATGCAAAATTATCACAATCTGATCTTTCGCGAAGAAGAACGCGAAATGATTCCGTACTGTAAGGCGACTAGTGTTGGATTGATGCCATGGTCGCCAATCGCTCGTGGCGCACTGGCACGGCCATTTTCTGATCGAGGCGGTTCTCGGCGAGAGCGGACGGATCCTCTAGTAGATCAGAGAGCTCGCTCTTCAAACGCTGATGAACAAATCATCAATCGTGTGGAGCAGCTCGCGAAAAAGTACCATGTGACCATGGCCTGCATTGCTACATCCTGGTGCATATACCACGGGGAGTGCCCGATCGTAGGCCTCAACAGCGCAGCTCGAATGGATGAAATGGTCAAAGGTCTTGCTTTCAAATTGTCTGCAGAAGACGTAGCGTACTTAGAGGAGCCATACCTACCCAAGGAGATCACTGGATACTGATATCCTTGTTCTGCAAAATCCGCTGGACAGCAGGCCTCTTTGCAAGACGCTGATGCCAGCTGTGATAGCACGGATACTTCTGGAAAATTTCCAAGGCCTGACTTTTGCCCATTACCTCCTCTATAAGTCGCGGTCAGTAAGTTGGCATTACACCGAGAATGCGAGACACGACTTGCCGATCTTGTTGTTCCATGGCACGAAGACAAGGTCAGCAAAGGTGCACTTTTCTCCAACGAGGTACCCCGTGCCGTTCCGTTTCAAATAGTGCTCCAAGATGCTGGAAATCCGAACGACATCGTCTGAAAATCTTTGGATGACGCTGGGGACTTTGTCGTTGTGCTGATTCGAGAACCACGCCTTGAGGGAGAAGAAGGGGCTCTGCGCACCCATCTGATAAGCTAGCCATTGTTGACACATCCACCACTTCTGCGTGTCTGGCGCGTAATGCAGCTTTCGTTCCTTGTCATATGTTTGGATGAGATACTCCACGATCGCCAATGACTCCCATAGGGTAATGTATTTCTTGGTATCCTCAAGGATGATCATGCCGGTATTCTTGTCTTCCACGGGAGGCGCTCCTTCGTCGCTGCTCCGCTCATGTCGATCGGAATTCTGGGATGCACTCTCGATGATTTTGACATCGAAAGGTATTTGAAGCTCTTCTAGAATGAGCCCGACTTTTTGTGGATTTGGTCCCTAAATATATATCAGCCTCGTGTCTTGTGAACAAGTCATTATGGACGATGGCTTACTGGATCCTGGATGTGCAAGACCAGACGATCGACCGGTCGCGACATCTTAGCGCTTGTGGAGGCCTGCGCTCTGCTGGATCTGTTGATTGTTGTTCCGAGAATAGGAGGATTTAAGATTGCTGTGCGTCTTCGGAAGCACAGGACATATTGTTTTGCAAGCGCTGATACTGCCAGAGATTTGACTTCAATCAGTGCCATGATGCAGTGAAGTGCTTTAACGACCCAATGGAAGAGATATGGTCGAATATCGAAAGAGCTTTGGACAATTTCTCATGAAAAGAGGTAGAGTGACGCTGCGGGTCGTACTTATCCTTACCTGTGCCATGTCAACTCGGACCCATGCTCGTACTATAACATATGTCAGTACCTCTGTGCACGTCAAACCCTTCCCAATCGGAAAGTCAGAGTAAAGACTGAGTTGCGGGCGTAGACATGTCAGACTGATATTCAGAGAAACAGTGATGGCGATTGTGTTTCTGATGATGATCAGGGCAGAAAGCTGACAACGAGCCAGGAATATTCATAAGACTCAGCCATGAGCTTAGAGTTTGCACGCCGCTCAGGTGCTCATTCAGCCGAATACTATCTCAGGTAGCATCGGTATGCTCTCCAGAATGGAGCTGTAGCAAAATACCGCCTCAAACGATTCACTGTTTCGCAAAGAAAGGAATAGGCCTAACGCCTGCCATCATTTTGCCAGACTTTGGTCCACCAACATAGCCCTTCATGTGCTCGATCCCTTCGTCGTTCACAACGTACGTTTCGAAATTTGAATACGTGAAAAGCAGAACATACTTCGTCACTATGCAATAGGGATTAGCATGCGTCTTACAGGCCGGAAGAGTTGTGTGCAGCTTACCAAGTAGCGCAAGATGGCTTCCAAGACACATTCTTGCGCCCGAACTGAATGCCCAGAACCATCTCAGCTTCTCATCCGGGCCATACAAGTCCGTCTTCGCTCCTGAATGAAGCCACCTCTCAGGCTGCCAGACGTTCGGATCGGGGAACACGGCAGGATTGGCGTGCAGGAATCGCGCATAACTCTGAACTCTGTAGCCTCCAGGAATGTTCTCATATCTTCCCAATTTGCTGAGCTTGCCGTATGGGGTGACCCGAGCCTGTCCGCCAGCTACAGTAGGGTGTACACGCAGTGTTTCCATCACCACTGCATGCAGCAGTGGGAGTGAATCAACCAAGCTCGGCGCAGGTAGGGAAGCAGACGAATCTGTGCGGATATCAGGTCCGAGTGCCTGACATTCCCGGCGTAGCCGTTGCTGTAAGTCCACGTTACGAGATAGCTCCCACACAGCATATGTTAAGGTGATGGCCAATGTTTCGTCCGAGGCGTGGATTTGGTCACAGACCTCGGCCGCAATCTCTAGCTGCTGAGGAGAGCAGGAAATAGGCCTGTGGCCTTCGAGGACTTTCAAAGATGGCGTAGAGCTCAAGCCCTCCTTGTCGAGTGTATATTTGAACTGCTGATATACAGTGGGTACCTCTTCTGGTGCTGTATTGTCGGAGCCCGGGTCGGCGAGGGCATTCTCAGCGCGATCGCACATGTCCAGACAGAACATATGTAGAGCCTCTAGACTCTTATATCGTTCCTTGGAAAGGAAGCCAATACTTTCCAGAAAGGATATACAACCAGGGAATTCGTGGAGCCAGAACATCATCGGATACGGACGTCCTTTATGAATTTCATGAATACACTTCGCATGCTGGGTTCTGTCATTCAAAAAGTTCGTGCCAGCTTTCGTGCCAAAGGTGTAACCGGTCACAACGTCGATGGCCAATGCAGAAAAGAGGATCATGGTGTCGAACGGCTGTTGTTCCATGGCGTATCCGATGACCAATGGAAGATAACGATACCGAATAATTTGATTTAGCAAACCGGACAGAGCGGGAGATGTGTACAGATAGGACTTGGAGAAGATATGAGTGACTCTTCTTTTACGAATGGCATGAGAGGTGGCATCCAGGCTCGAAGACAGGTTATGTCTGCCGCAGTCCTCGTATACACGGTAAAAGTAGTGGCGATCGAAATTCTTTCCATAGACAGTCTTGATCCCGTCATCTGAAACACCACGCAAGATGTGTCAGGTCATAAGACCGCCCAAAAGGTTTCCATTCCTGGATACAGACCTATGCAATTGACTGAGAGTTCTTGAGGGCCCAGTTGGACCACTTGGCCATATTTTTCATGGGCGGCGAACACAGTATCGTTCTCATCGTCCCAGTATCGTATCCAAAGCATGTAAAGAGAAGATATCTTCGCAAGCGGATGAACCGCTGGGATGCTGGCCACTGGACTCCAGAGCAGCGGGTAGAGAATGAAATGATACAAAGCCGCCGCAGCCAGAACGGCGGCAGCAAGCACAAGCAGGGCCATGCCAGATACGAGAAGCGTTCAGAGGGCTGCTAACTCGACAACAACTTGATCGAATTGAATGACTATGCAAAAGGAGAGACCTGGCCGACACCTGGGCGGGACAGCTTCCACGAGAGCGCTTCGCTAAGGCAAACAAGACGTGCCTTACGGTCAGCTTGACAAATTCGTGATGCCGTGCGCAAGATTTGACGGCGGGGAGACTAGTCAGAGAGGTATGCCAGTCGCTGCGCTCAGACACCACTCGTGGAAGCAAAGTGTTGCGTTGCGCTGTAGTGTGAGTTGAAAAGGCAGCATCGATTTCCAGGGTTGCATCGGAGAAATGCCGGGTACCGCCGGTGAGCCCCGAACCTTAACCTTAACCTTGTGACGACCCGACCTCTTCCCTTCCCTTCCCTTCCCTTCCCTTCCCTTGTCTGCAACTCTGCATCCACCCGGCAAGGCTGCAGCTGGTGGAAGCCGGGCCGTCGCCAGGTGCCATGGCATTTCTCAACATCACCCCTTGGATCTCCTCATCGGCCTCACTGCGCTTCAATCTCCATCTACCCTGGGTTGAGGGTAAGACGTGGGAAAATGTCTACATCTACAGCTTGATCGCGCACCATGACTTGTGCCTCCTGGCCATACGCTTCCAGAAGGGTGTCGAGCGAAAGACTGCCGAATTGCGCCATGTCAAGGGTTTCAGGGCTGGGCGGAGATATGTATTCGCCGGGGCAAGCACGCCAGGCTACGTAGACATGATGAGCACAGTCCAAGGACTGTTCTTTTCGACACTATCTGTGGCCCATCTTACGCGGCACTTGGGATGTGACCTACAAGTAATACACTCCGGGCTAACCTCAATCTCTCGATATTCAGCATTGTATCCAGCTCTGTCTCTTTGCCACAGCCCTCCGAATTTCTGAAGTCTTCCGCAGACATGGAGAAGACTTCGCTCATTCCAGGAGTCAGAGACTTCTACCTTCTGCTGGTTCTGCCAATCGCAGCTTATTGGATCAGTGCCAGCCTTTTCCACTTGCTCGATTGCCGAAGATGGTTTCAAGCTTGCAAGATTCATTCCTACGAGGCCGGAAAGCAACGCAACAAAGCGACCCTTCGTCAGGTATTTCGTCAAGTTCTTGCCCAGCAAGCAATTCAGGTGATGTTTGCACTGGTCGTTGATCAAGCACTCGCATCTACAACCGATGCAGCAACGACAGATCAGGGCTCCTTGCTCGGAAATGTAACTTGGACGCAGAGTTACGCGGAGCACCCAGCTCTGGATGCCGGCTCGAGAAACGTGCTGAATCCGAGTGCTGCACCAGCACTGCACAAGGGCGTGGAGCTGACCCTGCGATTCATCATTGCCATTGTCATTGCAGACTTTTGGCAATATGCTTGGCATCGAGTATTCCACAGCAGCAGGTTTCTATACAGTTAGTGCCATGACTCCCGGACAGCGTCGTTGACCTGGCTGCTGACAAGATCGACAGAGTACGTGCACTCGGTGCATCATCGGCTGTACGTGCCTTATTCTTTTGGCGCGCTCTACAGTAGCCTGGCGGAAGCTTTCGTCGTGGACACGATAGGAACCACGGTCACCTTCTACCTCAGTGGTCTCCCTGTCTTACCTGCAACCTGGTTCGCGACCCTTTCCATCATCAAATCTGTGAACGATCATAGTGGATATCGGTTTCCCTACAATCCTTTTGACTATCTCTCGGCTAACACCACCGACTTCCACGATGTGCATCACCAGAGCTGGGGCTTAAAGTACAACTACTCGCAGATCTACCTTACGATTTGGGTGAGCCTCTCGCACAAGGTGCTCTCATGAACAGGCCACAGGCTAACAACTCCTTGTAGGATGATCTTTTAGGTACGACAATGCCGGCGGAGGAAGCTGCAGTGAGACGCATGAGAGCAAAAGTGGACTCAACAGACGCCATGGTCAAGAAGTCAGAGTAGACCCCTGTTGTCTACAGAGACTAGCAGATTACAAGAAAGCCCATTTCGGTCGATGTTGCGGTCACGATCCTTGAAATCGCGCAGATGTGATTATTAGCCGAAGCTGGCTCTCATGTATTCCAATAGACTGTCATGAAAAGACTCATCACAATGCAGTCCCTGCCACCACTCAATTTCCTCTGGCCTCTATCGGTGATCAACAAGACTAGTGACCTAACATGTCAATGCCATAAGTCATCGCGATCGAAATACTTGGATCCATAGCGACAAATTGATGCCACTGCTGTCTGCAGGTAGCTAGGCGCTGTTCTATGCGAAGAAAGACCTCGTCAAAGTTCTCAACGGTCTCGTTCAAGTCACCATAATCGGCATCGAATACCCAGGGCTGCTCTTGGCTGCAGCCGAACACGTTCTCAGCTGCTTGTGCGAAGCTGGCCTGTTGGACGTCAGCGTGTGCGTGAGCAAGCGTTGGCAAGATTCTTCATTCACTACCACTCACCACTTCGCCCGAATTTTATCTTGTCCAAAGCTGTCTGGTACACCATGCTGGCCGTGATCATCAGCTTACTTCTAGTGATCGGTTACCTGTTCTCACTAGCATATCGAGTGAGCCCTTGGCACCCTCTCTCACATATTCCAGGACCTTGGCGGACGGCCATATCATCTCTTTGGTTGCAATATCACACTTTCCACGGCACCCAAGGTAAAGCAACGCGAAGACTACACCATATCTATGGCCCGATAGTGAGAGTTGGACCCAACGAAGTGGAGATTGCAGACGGTGCGGCACTTTGGCCCATCTATATCAAAAATGGTGGCTTCGATAAAAGCCATCACTATGCGATGCTGGACATTGACGGTCATTCTACGGTCTTCTCTACTCTGCAGAATCGAAAGCGAGCGGACAGGCTCAAGGTTGCACTACCATTCTTCTCTGCCGCCTCTGCACAACGTCAAGTCCCCATGCTCAAGGCGTATGCGGTAAAGCTGGCCGAAAGACTGGAACGAGACAAAATCAGAGGAGATACGGTCGACCTCCTAGACCGCTGCAGGTCTTACTCGCTCGACACAACTTCGAGCTACGTCTTCGGCGAGGCTTTCGGCGCTATGGAAGAAGATAAGATGTCCATAGCTCCTGTTGTGGACAATTTTGTTGAAGTCAACTTGCTGTTCAACATTCCTAGTCGCTTCTATCGAATCTTCAGCTTTTGTTATAATGCTTTCGTAGTCAAAACTGCCGTCAAGCAGGCGGATGCCAAAGTCGATAAGTGGATTAGAGATGTTGTAGTTAGAAACCTGGGCAAGTCGCCTGAAGCGCAGAAGACCTATCCGGGTAGGCTCGCGGCCTTGGGAATGCCACTCAACGCAGTGGTCCCAGAAGGCAAGGACGCAATCTTTGGAGCGACTGATGCGCTTGGATTAGCGCTGTCGTTGATTCTATGGCGACTGGCGTCGAACACCGCAGTGTATGTGCGATCGCTACATCATATACATCATGCAATGAGCTGATACAACCCCTGATGACAGGTATGCAGCTCTGCGAGAAGAGCTTGAGAGCAACGCCGGCATGCAAGACGAGAAGCTGCAGAGCCTCCCTATCCTCACGGGCATCATCAAAGAGGTTATGCGCCTCAGCTCTACTGTACCTTGCAAGCTACCCCGTGTTACTCCTAGAGAAGGTATGATTTATAAGGATATCTATATTCCAGGCAATGTAGTTGTTGGCGTTGCGCCGTGCATCCTCCACTTCAACGAACAAGTATACCCAGAGCCGTACACATTCCGGTACCAGAGATGGCAGGACGCGACGGAGGAGATGAGCCGAGATTGGATGCCTTTCGGAAAAGGCGCTCGAGCTTGTCTGGGGCGTCATTTGGCTATGCTGCAGCTCTGCGTTGCCGTGTCCACTGTCGTCAGGAGCGGCGTGCTGAACAACGCGAGAACTATGAAGTCGAGCATCGAGTTTTGGGAATGGTACAACGTAAAGGTCGCGGGCGGAACGATCGAGATCGGATGGCAGGAGAGTCCTGAAGTCACAGACGATGTGTAGCATAGCAATTGATCACTAGTCTTGCGGTGAAAACATGCCCTTCTTCATTACATTAGAAGTGAAGAAAGTCTAGAGCAAGGACCAAGGGCACGCCAAGTCTGATCACATGATTGGCAGCGCAGGTGCCAGTCTAGACACCGCGCCACCGCCCGCGAAAATCTAAGTTGTCCGCCAAGACCGAAATGATTGGCTGAGAATTCTAACGGAAGTAATGTTTAATCAAAGATTGAAGGGAAGTTTGACTTACCCCGGATTTCAGCGTAGAACGTCAATCGAAAGCGCTTAACGAACCCCGGATACAAGCGTAATACGCTAATAAAAATTTAGTAGGAGCTTGAAGTATACTAAAGACCTAGGTATAGCTATATCCTACTAAAGGCGAAGCCTATCGACTAGTATAAAGGTCCCTATAGCGAAAATATTAGTAAGACTACTAATAGGACTACTAACTTTAGCAAACTATTAGTAGAGCTACTAGTAGGTACTAGGCTAACTACTAGCAAAACTAGGTATTAAGAAAACTACTAATAAAATTATTAACTAAACTATTAGCTAAACTACTAAGGGAACTAATAGCGCGCGTTTAGACTAGCAAACTACTACTTAGATACTAGTACTTATACTAAGCCCTACTAAACTATATGCTATAGCTAGAATAGACTACTATATAAAAAGCATAACTATAATCAAGAATTGCAAGATTAGTAAATTTTCTTTTACAAACTAGGGTATAGACATATATCGAAACTAAAACTATAACATTCTCTAAAATTAGTAGTATATTCCTAGAACCTTATAAAGAGCTACATTACATATAAGATAAAGATACTTAAGCCTATTACTGCAGAACCTAAGAGTCTTTAGCTATCGAAGTTTACTAGCCTCGGTAATCGAGATATATATACGATTGGTAATCAAAACAAATACATTACAAGCTGCCAGTCTTGGAACGCGATAGTGGTCCACAACACTTCCTAGTTGGTCCAGATCTTGCCCCAACTTTTCTCGTCCTACACATGATAGACACATTTCTGCGAACCTCTACATTCCCTCGAAGCACCCAATGCGTATTCAGCTGCAAGATGTACAGACACAACCGCACAGATGCCGGATCAAGGGATGCCGCGGAACATCCAATCAATTCACCCCGTAGCCGAGCAAGACGCAGGACGAAGAGGAGCATAAACATGAGCATGAGCATGAGCGAGGAACGAAAGCGATCGGGTGCTTCACATTCGCTTCACGGGACATGCTTGTCACTTGGACGCTGGCACATTCGCCACTCTCAGGACAATGTTCACATCACATCGCTACGCTGGCGACTTTGCCGTGCTAGGCGCCGGGGAATCTCACAGCTTTTCCTCAAGAGCCTTCTTTCAACGTCCAGGAGCACAGCACCTAGACAACCACGGAAACTTCGGCCTGGCTGGCTAACTGAAATTCAGTATGGTCGAGAATGTACGTACCGGAATCATCAAACATGTACCAGCCAGGTGCTCAATGCCCATGCTTTGCAACAGGCCCTGCCGAGGCGGAGAACACTATAAGAAGGTTGTGCTGAAGAGAGTCTATGCATCTCAGCAGTCGATCTCTACAAGTCCAATCATCCTCAGGCACAAGTAGCCAATATGTTGCGTGATATACGGCACATGAACCTGGAGTTCTGGGGCGACGGGGACCTAGTCACCTAGCCTTGCCAAGTCTTTCCAACCGAACATCCCCCAGATTATACACAGGGAATGAAAGGTTGTACCGCTGAGCTAAGGTCCGCCACGTTACCACGTACCGTCACGCCCGTGTGGGCAGGCATTGGGCAGACTGCATTCTGTACGACTTCCTCGACAGTCACCAAGTCAACAGGAAGCTCAACGACAGTGTTGCCAGCATGAGCACCAGTCATTCGGCCTCGTGCTCTGCCTACGGCGACCGGCATTCTCTCACGCAAAACAAGTGCAGCTTTACGAACTTTACGAAGACTGTAATCATCAGGATGAGACCCTTGCTCTTCAACATAGCCTTGCGCTTCACCCGACTCCCGAGAACCGGGTTCTGGCAGCGCTGTTGGAGCAACAGTACTGAACGGCAGGACGATGGTTCCGTCACTGCAATTGGGGGCTGCGAGGCTGCTTTGACGCTCACCAGCCAAGACTTTGGGCGACGGTGTGCAAGTGTCAGTGCTGGTAAGCTGTAAGTTTGTTATGTGACTGTGCCACAGAATCCTTCGTTGTTCAGGCGAACATGATGGCCAGGAGTCTTCTATCTACTTGCATCCTACCAGAAATTCGTGCCCTGAGAAAGCCACCTGGTCTCCTTCGCAATGTCACCTTCACCCGTGCTTTGGCGTCCAGTACCGTCCCACGAAGGACCATTGCTACGCAGGTCGTCGATACTCCTGCAAGCTTTCCACCTCCAGGTCTTCCGTTGAAATTTCCTACTGCGCAACCTGTGAAGATCAATAGTACACATGGCGATCGAAAGGAGAGCCCATTGGAGGTGGACAGCAAGTATATTGGCTTGACTGGAGGCCAAATCTTCCATGCCATGATGGTGAAGCATGGCGTTGAGAAAATCTGTGGGTATTTGCCCTATCAGAAATATACAAAAGGATAAAGCACCGGTTGACATTTCTCGCAGTTGGCTATCCGGGAGGTGCGGTGAGCACATACGACAAAGAATCAACCGCCAATGGTATTGATAAAACGACAGATTTTGCCCGTATTCGACGCTCTCTACGACTCTCCCGTAAGTCCTTGTATCGTCACTGGCCATCGTGTGGAATGCTTCTGACTCCTGCCTCGTAGGCTGTAGAGGTCATTTTGCCAAAGCACGAGCAGGGTGGAGGTCACAGTAAGCTCTCCTCGCCTGTGCTCATTTTTGAGAATCAGCAGTGGCTGACAAGTCGTCAGTGGCCGAGGGGTGAGGGTACTTGGGCAACGAACATGCAAGCACTACTAACAGGACTTGACGTCTTACAGCTACGCACGAGCAACTGGCCGACCTGGCGTTGTCTTGGTAACCTCTGGGCCAGGAGCCACGAATCTCATCACACCTCTTCAAGATGCACTCATGGACGGCACGCCAATGGTCGCATTCTGTGGTCAAGTACCTACCACAGACCTCGGAAAGGACTCATTTCAGGAAGCAGACGTCATCGGGATAACAAAAGCCTGCACGAAATGGTGTGTGCAGCCTCAGACAGTAGCTGAGCTACCCGGATGCATTGACGAAGCCTTTCGTATTGCAACAACCGGTCGACCGGGACCTGTACTTGTCGATTTGCCAAAGGATGTGACGGCATCGACTCTCACATCACCTCCAACGCCACTTGTACCACTACTCACGGAAGACCTTCAGCTAGATCCAAACGAGCTGTCCGCTCGACTGGCCCGTGCTGCCGCTCTGGTCAATCAAGCTCAGAAGCCGGTCATATACGCTGGCCAGGGCATTTTGTCACATCCTGACGGCCCTGTTATGCTTCGTCGCCTCTCTGAACTAGCACAGATTCCAGTCACAACGACACTACTTGGTCTAGGCGCTTTCGATGAAGAGAATCCCAAAGCACTCCATATGCTGGGCATGCACGGGTCATGCTACGCCAATCTGGCAATGCAAGAAGCAGATGTGATTCTAGCTCTCGGTGCACGCTTCGATGATCGTGTTACACGCAAAGTGTCTGGCTTTGCACCCAAATCACGCCAAGCTGCTGCCGAGGGACGAGGAGGCATTATCCACTTCGAAATCTGGCCGCACAACATGAACAAGGTCATTGACGCTACAGAGATAATACAAGGAGATGTAGTCCAAAATCTAGCTTGCTTCGTGGAACAAGTGCATCAGGTATCCTCAGAAGCCCGGAAGCCGTGGTTGAAGCAGATTGAAGACTGGAAGCGTCAGTATCCTTGGGCATATGAAAAAGAAGGCGATAACGGAGTCGTAAAGCCCCAGACTGTGATCGCCGTGCTTGACGAATTGACACAGGATGTCAAAGACAAAACCGTCATCGCTACGGGCGTTGGCGCACATCAAATGTTTGCAGCAACCCACTATCGTTGGCGATATCCTCGCTCAATGATCACTTCCGGAGGCCTGGGCACGATGGGTTTCGGACTACCTGCTGCGATTGGTGCCAAGATTGCCCGACCTGGCGCTCTAGTAATTGACATTGACGGAGACTCGAGTTTCGGAATGACGATGACGGAACTCACGACGGCAGAATGCTATGGCATTGGCGTGAAGGTTCTGATACTCAATAACGAGGAACAAGGTATCTTCGAAATTCCCATCCAACCAGGCACATCTTGGCTGACTTTTGTCACGAACAGGCATGGTCACGCATTCGCAGCAAATGTTCTTCAATGATCGCTACGCCTGCACGCATGGTGCCAATGCCGACTTTGTGAAATTCGGGGATGCCGTTAAAGTTGCAGCTGACAGGGTCGAGCATATCAGTAAGCTTCGGCGAAAGATGCACTGGCTGCTTTTCGAGACTGGTGATGAACCAGCATTGCTGGAAGTAAAGGTCGATCAGAAGGTTCCAATTCTGCCTATTGTCATGCCAGGAACTGCTTTGCATGAATTCGTGCCCTTTGATGAAGGTAAGGTCCAGTATTGCTTTTCTGTGGTGTGATTACTGACGATTGAGCGACCAGAACGGGAAAGAGCAAGGCGAATATTGACTAGAGAGCGATCGGGAAGGTAGCAATGTTCGAGCAGGAGGATACTGAGGCTGTGTGGTAAGCTTCTGTCCGGAAAAATTCACGATAAGGATCCATGAGAAGGACGTCGACAAATCACAATTGAAGAGAGGGAATCATTAGCATAATAAACCTGAAATCTTACGATACGCATTCAACGAGCGTTCGCACGTTCTCCACTTCTACCATCCTATTTGACGATGCGATAAAGAGTGTAAGCGAGACATCAGTCGCCGGTGTGCGGCTCGCCACGATAAGTTCATTTCGCTCTCCATATCTCAGACAGCAAAATTTTGAAATGGTCGGTATGCCGTCAATTGCAGGTGGTCACGCCTGACCAGCGGTAGAAGGACAAGAGAAGATTTGATGCAGCTGTAAGCATGACTGGTAAGCATCTTATGCCCTTTTCAGTGATTCGAATGCCAAGAATCTCCTAAATATGTCGCTGTCTACATGTCGAATTTGCTGTATATAAGAGAGGAGGCTGCAATCTCAATCCCCAAGCCTCACTTCTTGACGGTTTCACATACTTGGCGCGCTGGGGTCCGTCGGAGCTATATGGCTAGATAGTCTCCAACCTGCCACGGTCTGTAAGTATATTTCTCAAACTCAACATACACGGACGCACAACTTGACCACACACAATTGGTCATGGCACGAAAGCGCAAGAGGTCTGCACTCGACACGCAGAATAGGAAAAAGCGAGCCAAAGTTGAGAGCCGGTTATAGAGACAGTCTTACTGATTTTCACATAAAGCGAGCTTACGAGACTCGAATCTAGACCAAAAATCGTAGGCGCCGCGCCCGAGCTGCGTAACCAGATCTACGAAAAAAAGAACTCTTGCTCGAGCCTGAAAATAACAAGAAAATCGAAATTCCCGCCAAACATAACTAAAAGCCCCCCTAGACTATTTTCCGGCTATAAGTAAGCGCGAAAGGAAGCCTATAGTTAACTTTCTCGATTACCGCTTCTAGATTACGGTTTATTTTATCGTTGCAAAACGCGTACCGATATCCTAAATTCGATCGGGAAAATTTCTATTTCCCTACGATAAGCAAAACTTATAGGTAGAGTTAATCTAGAGCGATCGCGACTACTCGAATAGTATAGGAAGATCTATACGAATAAGGTAAGGCGGACACTCTTAATTAAAGCCGCAAAGGACGAAGATACTAACTAAGGTAATATTAGGTTGTTACTCGCATCGCGACAAGTCTTAGGCGCAATACTATAGGACTTAGAGGATATTTACTAGGTATTCGGAGAAGTAGCTTAAGGATTAAATCTTATCGGTATTACGTATATAATAAACAGAATAGACAGTAAGGTAAACGGCGATATTCTAGCTTGACTCCTTGAGCGAGGTACTGCAGCTTTAGGTTTCAGAAGAGCTGTCGCTAGGACCTCGAATTGAGTGAATAGGAATTTAGCTTTGCCAAGCTTCACGTGCAAACTGAGTGAGCCCCACAATTTGAACACGCATTTTCTTCTAGTGTTTCGCAGCTTCAAACTCGACATCTGCAAGCCAGGTCGTGTTCAGCTGACGATGGCCACCAAGCGCAAGAACGCCGCCTCGATGCCGAAAGAGAAAGAGAAAGCTGACGGAGACACTGCGCAGGTATGTCGACGTCGGTCCCTCGAGCACTTTGTAATTGTTACTGATACGTAGCTTCTTGGTAGAAGGGACCGACTCTCCTATCAATCCTAGCAGAACTAAGGAACCGGATCTTTGAGGAAGTTCTCGTGAATCGCGAGCACATCGACATCTCCGACGTGACGACCAAGCCACCAAGTCTGCTGTCAACGTGTAGACAAATCCGCGGAGAGGCTCTCCTGATGTGGTATCTACAGAACAAGTTCACGGCCGTTGTGCGCGGCTGCAACAGCGACTTGAAAATCAAGTTCAACGCGGCTTACAAGGATCTCCGAGACCAGGATGGAGAGTACATTAAGAATAATGTTATCCTTCATTGTACGTTTATTAGGGGCGCTCGAGACTGGCCAAACCTGCTGGAGTGGTGCAAGAGGATTCAGAGCAAGATGTGTGATTTTCTTCCTCCAGCGGCGGCTGAGTTTCCGAATTATGTCTGCGTGATCGCAACTGCGCACGATGTTGCGTATCAGCACAGAGGCCAGAAGGGCTGGGAAGAGTGTCGCAAGGTCTTGGAGTGCCTCCGTCAGGCATTCGGCAGGATCGACCAGATGTGGCTGCAGGACTGAAGGGCACATGGCATGCTTGTAGCGCAAGCGAAGATCGCGAGGACCCTCGCTCGAGTAGTCACGTTGACATTCGACCAAGCTTCACGTCCAGGCAAGCTTCATTTCTTCCCCAAGCCGACCACGGTCCGCAAGCTGCCAAAGGCAAGCACATCACTCATCCTTTCTCTTCCACTGAACAGCATGACGAGGCGGTCAACACCACAACCCCAGCCGCCAGTCGGGGGAAGTCCCCACTCCAAGCATCGCAGATAGTCTTCATCCAGTTGCATCGCCTCCGCATCTCTTGATCTCTGCTGAAGCTGTTCCTCAAACTTGCGCCTCTGCTCAAAAGGGCTGTTCTCCTCTTCGTACATATTTGCGTACTCACAACCTCCAATGAAAAGCTCAGCACGTGCAGCAACGGTCTGACCCGTGTTGGGACACTTAAAATGCTTTGAGAGAGGGGACATGCAGGCTGGATGGTGCGTTATAAAAATTGGTTCTTCCTTGGAAAGTGGTTCTAGGTATTCTGCGGCTAAAGCGTCCAGGAGTCGAGGCAGGGTGGGATTGACGGGCTTGGGGATATTCTTTTCGGAGAAGAGGCCAGCAATGTGAGAGTAGGCGTCATCTGTTTCGAGGTGGCCAAGTTTGCTACCAAGCTTCTTTTCGAGGGTCGGGATGAACTCTACTCTTTGGAATGGTTGAACTTCGCTAATTGAGCCGGCGATCTCAGTATACTTGGGCCGGATAGCAGGCAGAGACAATGCTGAAAATTTGCCAAGCTTCCGTAGCGACTCAATGTATGCATCCAGCTCGCACAGCAGGCGCTCTGTTGTGGCCATGAGTTGGTCAAGGCTGGCATATGCCTCGTAGAACTCACAGATATTGAACTCTGGGTTGTGAGTAGCATCCACGCCCTCATTCCGAAATGCTGGGCCCAACTCATACACTTTGGGCATGCCGCCGACGACAAGTCGCTTCAACCACAGCTCTGGCGCTATCCGGAGCTGCAGTGTCTCGTCAGACAGCTCAGTGGCCACGGTCTCGAAAGGTCGGGCTGCAGCGCCTCCGGCTGTGGCGCTCAGCAAAGGCGTGGTGACCTTGACAAATTCTCTCTCGTTGAAAAAGGCCTGGATAGCGGCTTCAATCTCGTGGCGCATCTGGAGAGTCTGGATTGCTTCCGCGTTTACGATCATATCGACGTGGCGATTCCTTGCACGTGCCTCGGGATGTTCGTAGGCTTCAGGAACTTGGTGGAGGGAAGGGGATAGCAGGCGTGGCAATTCGCTTGCCAATAGCGAGAGCTCCCCCCGTTCGGTGACATGCTTGTGGCCGACGACTGAATAGTAGTCTCCCTTCCTTGCAGTCTTTGTGAAGGCTTTCCAGCTCTCCGATGTGGTAGCTGAGTGGTGTTGCTGTAGATGTGGTAGTTTGCAGACCACCTGCACAGTGCCTGTGTCGGTGACAAGATCCATGAAAAGCAGCTTGGAGCCGGCAGTGCGTAGGGAAGAGATCTTCCCTACCAGCATGCCGCCGTAGCCTTCCGAGTGGAAGGCAGTGTGGTCAGTCTCCCCATTCTGCAAGCGTTTGCCGAAATTGTGCAGCTCATTTCTGCCTACGCGCAGATTTTTCGGCGACTGCGAAATTCTTGGATACCATTCTGAAGGCTGCTTGTGTGCCTCGAGCTGTGCTACTCTCTTTTCCAAGTCATGAGTAATGTCATGCTGCGTTCGGGGGGTATGTGTGCGTAAGGTGCTTGCACGAAAAGCACGCGTTTGATGGAGGCATTGGCATTGGACGCGATGGAAGTTGTGAAAAAGGTAGGGGCGGAGACGGCGGGAGAGAATTTCTTTAGACATTATCTACTGCACGTGATATCAGTCTCGAGCCCTTCCAGCTAGCAGAAGAGGAGTATAGAATTGGATGAGGGCCTCATCAGTGTTGGGTCATGTTTGCGATCATTCTCCTTGTAGGGAGTCATTCGCAACGGTTCTCTTGAATTGTCTGTTCATCGTGTGGACCAAGAATTGATGGTGATTTTGGAAAGGCTGCAGACTGACCTTTGATGTGAAGCCCGGCTGATGGCACACATGGCGTATATTGTGTGATGCATATGCCGCGCTTCGGCTTTGTTGATGGCACAAGGAGTCGGTGGTGACGGTGACAGTTCGCGCATCGAATTCACCGCCGGGGGCCGCCAAGAGATCGCATTGGCAGAGGGCTGATTAATGCTGTGGCTGCGCTAAAGACAAAGATAGGCCCCTCGCATATCACGCTATCACGCTCACCTGCAGACGCGGACAAGAAGCACGACTCTCGGCCTGCACCCATCCACCTCCACCTCCACCTCCACCTCCACCTCCTTCGCACCCGACACTCGCTACACTGCGACATCCCGCAGCAAACCACTGTGCATCGCGCCGGACAGGCCCAGCGACCGCTCTGCACGACTGCGCCCGTCTCAGCTGGCCTGCACAAGCCCTCTTCTGGGGCCAAGCAGCGTTGCGTCAGCTGCAAAACGCCGGGCTTAGAACTAAGGCTCAGGCTCAGCTCAGGCTCGGCTCAGCTCAGGCTCAGGCTCAGGCTCAGGCTCAGGCTCTTACACTTTCGTTACATCGCGTGGCGGCGCGACTGATTTTGCTGCGGCGCTGCGAAACACTCGACACATCGCACCCGCACCCGCATCCGCACCCGCATCCTACAAGTCGACAACCTCTCTGCGCGGCCGCTTCTTTGCGGCCACACCACCGCAACCACGCCGTCCAACAAACATCAGGCGAGATCCAGCCTGCTGGGCGGGTCCGACACGTCCTACCAGCCGCTCTCCGGCAACTCGAGCTTCGCATCGCAACGACCTCCCATCTACCAGCCAGTCGAGCCTGGCAGCTGGCATGACCGCCAGGGCCTGCCCACACGAGACATTGCAACGGCGAACAGCGGCCGACGACCATCGCGCAAAATGTACATCCCGAACACCAAATGGACCTGGGCATTCATGCTCATAGTCCTCATCCAGGCCTGTGTCAGTCTGGCCCTGGAGTCATATGTCTTCGGCGAGTTCCAGACGAGCCTGGAGCGAGATGGCGATGTTCCCGAAGGGCAGCATTCACCCACCCTCACCATCCCAACCTATCTGGCCCTGTTCATTTTCGGGTATTTGTACGAGTTGCTGCTGGCTTGGGATGCGCTGAGGCTGAAGAACACCATTCAAGTCATCGGAATATGCATCTATAATCTTGGCATGCTCATCTACTCCGCTGTACAGATGGACCAAGTCGATGATGCAGTCAAGGACTTAAATGGAGACATCAAGCCCGGAACTTGGCTCGGCCTAAAGCCATTCCTGATCGCAGCCCCTTGTGTTGTAGCATTGGGCACCATCCTACTCGCATTTGTCGCATGGAAGCTTTACAACGAATTCGCCTGGACCATATACAAGCACATCTCTGCCGATCTGCGCCTGAAGAGGCGATATCTGACATATCAGGTACGTCCGTGTGGCCTTCGTGTTCTCACACCCCTGCTGACCTCTCCCAGATCTATATCGCCCTGCTCAAATTCGATTTCTTCTTTTTCCTTGGATTCACAGTCCAATTTGTCGTTGTCGTAACGGGCACCTCCGACAGCGAATTCTACCTCACCATCGCCGCAATCCCCATCACAATCATTCTCCTCTTCCTCGCCGCATACATCAACCGCAAAGAATCATACGTTGGCCAGACCTTCATTCTGATCGTCTACTTCGCCGCTATGGCGTATTTCGTATTCAAGCTTGTCCGCATGTACACTCCGCCAAAGATGCAGGACTACCTAGCTGCGCGCAGCTCGCTCACGACCTTCGCTGTCTTGACACTGCTGCTCTTGATCGTTACCATCGGCACAGCAATAGCATGCATGATGAACTTCAACAAGGGATTGAAACCACACATTCAAAGGAGAAAGGTGCCCAACACCGGGGAGCTGAGTGATGGAAAGTGGGCCGGAGACGAATATAACGGCCCACCACATCCTTTGGGACAAGTACCTCAAAGGATGACGATTGATTGAGCGAGCAAAGCATTTTCCTTTGCAAATTGTACAGACCAGCTCGAGCTCTTGGAATAGCTGAGAAAGATACCATGTGGGACGCCGGCGTTTCAGAGGAGTTTTACACAAGTCCATGGGCGACTGTATGTCATGACGCTAGAAGATACCTCCGATCTCGCGAACGCCAATGTGGCGATGATGCATGAAATGAAAGTGTGAATTATTTTTGACCCCCCGCTCCTTCCCTCGCAGCGGAGATTTGAGTCTTTTCAAGTCCAATGCTATCCCTCGCTGACCTTCCTGTATCGTCCTGAGATCGCCGTGCCCTCTCCGACCTGTTCCAATAGACCTTCTATCAGAAAGGGCAGTCGTATGCCGAGGTCCTTACTCTTCCAACCTCACTTTCCTGCACTTTCCCGCTTTCACATGCTGAGGCCAGGCGGCTCGAATGAGAGATTTTTAATATTTTGAAAGTACAATGGAACTCACTCTTGACTCTTTTGCATACAAAGTCTTGGGTCGCTGGCCACGTCTCTGCTGTTCAGATCTCCATCATGCTTTCAAAAGGGAGAGACTGCAGCCTTGTCTGTGCTTCCCCATGAACCCATGATTCGACGCCTCCTTTCTGGTGCAATACATGCTGCTATACCATACCAGCTTTGTTCTTCAGTTCATTCATCATCGCTCCATTTCCATGCTCCATTTCCATGACTTGTACTTCTCCCTCTCAATGCCGTCCGATTGCCATCTTTTCATCACCCATGTCTCAAATACTCAACCTACCAACTTTCCGCCCTCCATTTGTCCGAGCCCTTCTCCACTTTCTACGCTCTCAACCCTTCCATTTCTCTGTATCCAAGCATGCTCGACACTGACCTTCTCTCCTTCCCCGTCGCTTTTGTACCCGGGTTATCCATCGCGCCAACGAGCATCGATGTTCTCCGCCATATTGCGTACAAATTGTAGAGAATTGAGACAAGTCGCCCATGTTGCACCTTCGATCTTCGCATGTGCGGCTGCCATGGACAGAGCGTTCGCCACGACCAGTCGGAATCCCGTCTGTCCCGCACTGATGCACACGCCGGGGGCCCTGTGTTCGAACACAGCCTTGCACCAGACCATCAGCTTCTGCCAGTCATACAGCGCACTCATACCGATGGAGAAACGAAACTGTTGCCCGCAGCGAGCCCTGTGGGTGAGTAGTAGTCGTTGCATATCGCGTGTGAAGAATGCTGCCATGATGGAGAAGTCCAGATTTTGCACCCAAAACCGGAACTCATTCTCGAGTAACCAGATGCTGCGGGCTTCTTGTCGGATTTGTCGGCAGGCTGAAAGCAAGCCGGGCTCACGCGTGTCTTTCGTGACGAAGAGCTTGCCGTCCCCACAGAGGACGTAGCGATAAATCCGGTTCCGTAGCTCTGGTGCTAGATCTAGCAGGCGGCATTCGTCGTCGCGGTGGTACGTGGCTTCTTGTGTGCCCTCGCCATTGACTGTCTTCTTGTTCTCATTGTCGGCACTCGCGCCGACGGCTTTGATAGCGTTCATGGCGATACGGCGCGCTCGCTGCAAAAATTGAGGATAGTGCTGTTCTCGCTGAACTATCGTCGCTGCTGTGTATCTGGAGGGACTTTCAAGCGAATTTTGAGTCGAGTCGCAATTGGAGTGCCGTCGGCGAAAGCTCGCGTGGCAACGAAGGGCGTCCAGCTGGTTGAAGCAAGTGCTGTTCGTGCGATCTGTGTTGGAGCGCTCGCAGGGCAGTGTCTCGAATCACAGGTGGTTTTCGTGTGTCAGTATGGAAAGAAAGTTAAGGGAGAGGTTTAGGTGTTTACTCAAAGCGCGGACATGCGCGCATGTGAAGCTAAGCGAAAAGTGGAGTCCTCAGTGCCATTTTCTTTCACTTTCACGTGCGCCGAATTTTGCGATGATGAAGAGTGTCGCAATGCAATTCTCCGAGGCGTACATGAGGCAGAGAGAGATTTTGTTCCCGATGTGAGCGCAAAGGAGATGGTGCTCCGGGAAAGGGAATCGAACACTCACTGTATTGCGCAAGGATGCCAGGTCATGACCATGAAATGTTGAGGATTTAATCTGAACCAAAATGAAATGGACACTGTTCCTACCATTACTGCGTCTACAAGGTGACGATGGCCTTATCGTGCTGATCTGGCGAAAAGCAAAAAGATCGGTACACCTCCCAGGAGGGGGCTCGAACACCGGAGCAAAAAAGTTCGCCTCTCCCTGTTTGGGTTTCTTTGTTTGTTGTAATTATGGGTCAGAGCCTGCTTGCAATAAGAGGCTCCAGAGGTTACATCTTTATCTCGCTTGTGATCGATCGGACTCCTCAGCGAGAGATAATTGGTTTGAGGAGCGTTGTTGATTTCGTGGATTGCTGAGTTGCTGATTGGTTGTCGACAAGCTTAGGGAATTCCTGGACGTTTATGAGTGCTCAGATGTTCCCGCTTGCCGGAGTGATGCCGCGGAGGAGAGGAGTGCGTGACAGCCAACGCAGTCTCCTTGCCTGTGGCTCGTTGCGCCAACAATATCCAGTTTGGTGGTGAGAATGGGGATGTCTCTCGGATCCTTCGCTGCTGGCGCAGACGTGCGCGAGGGCGCTGTTATCGCATCGCCTTCTGCCCATGGCAAGACTCTTCGTCGGTGGATGGTCATCTGTGATCACAAGTCTTGGCATGGCGGTCCTTTTGCTTCGGTCGTTCCTCAGCATCCCGTACGGCGTCTGCTTCCACAACTTTGGCTGCCAATGTAGTATTGTGCGCTCCTTAAATGGTCACGGCCGTGGTCTGCAGCGCGATTGACTGTCAAATACACTCTGCTGCTTCTTGAAACTGACGATGGTTAAAGCTCTAAGAACTGCACTTCACTAAAGGTTCACTTTGCGGTCTTCACTTCAGTACTTTTGACTTCAGTTCTTCAAAGTCACTTTCAGGCCGGTCTCCATTGTCCAGAAATCCAGGTCCCTGTTGGCGACCGTACCGCTCTCGCCAGAATCCATTCTGCTCTCAGTACCCGACGCTTTACATGTTACAAGGTCCAGTCTGATTTGTTCAATCGTCATCATGAATCGTAATGCCGACCTCCTCGGCCGCAGCCTCTGCCTCTCCGTTCATTTTGACGTCCTCCCCATCGCCATTGCTCGGCAGAGCGACCTTGGCAGGACCCAATTTCTTCTTGACACCATTTTTCTCTGGCTGCTTTGCGCCCTCGTCAACGTCCATACTATCTTTTCCGCCCGCTTTCTTCTTCGCAGCTCTCATCTTTGCCTTCTCTCTCTTCGCGCGATTCTTGCTCAGTTTCTCCTCGTCAGCTTTCTGCATCTGCTCCTTCTTTTCCTGGAACGCCTTCTCTGCTGCCTCCTGTTTCGTCTCTTCATCCATGAGACGCAAACGCTCGTACTCCCTCCGTCTACTGGCTTTGTACACGTGGAACTCGCCAGAACCAGCGCCTGCCGATGAACCTTGCACATTTGCGACAATTTCTGGAGGGGGTAATGCGGTCCTTGTCTTAGGACCCACAGGAACTGCAGTATCTGCGCGATCTGGATTGGCGAAGAGTGCTTCAACTTCTGCATGTTGCTTGCTCGTTGGGGACACTGCGCGACGCTTCAGAGGGCGATTTGAGCGATGCGACACGCTCGTCGGAACAGACTCTGGGATGTTCTCTGACATGGTGGCGGTGATAATGAGGTTGAAGCTTGAACAGCAAGTGCTGTGAGGAACACCTCTCGGTAGTCGTAGGCCACACCGGCCTGGCAATCCGAAGGGTCCAGTGACTGGTTCTGATTCACTTGACTGTCAGGTGAAATTGGAATGCGGTTGAAGTGAGGTTTGATGACTAAGCCATCCGCTGACTAAGTCACAAAGTGGGGCCACATGAGGCGCGTCCTCCGGCTGGTACAGTATCTCGGGTTCTCATCACGCTTCGCATTGCCACCAAACCAAGAGAAGGTGAGAGGCAAGGCAAGATGGTGAAACCACGAGTAGGTCCTGTATCAGCGCTCGACCGATCGTGTACTAAACAGTTCTAGCTGATCATCCTCATACGCCACGCTCAGAGTGAGGGCAACAAAAACCGAGAGATTCATCAGATGATCCCGGATCACCGCGTCAAACTTACGGAAGAAGGCCACAAACAAGTATGCTTCCGATTTTGAGCCTGAAAACCGGCATGCCTGACTAACCCAGGCAGAAGAAGCCGGTCGACGACTTCGTGCACTACTGAGACCCGACGACACGCTCCAGATCTTCACATCTCCATACCGACGAACGCGAGAAACGACAGAGGGCATATTAAAGACACTGACAGCTCGCGATGATCCAGACGACCCGTCCGCTTCTCCATCTCCTTTCAGCAGGAACAAAATTACGGTGTACGAAGAGCCACGTTTGAGAGAGCAGGACTTTGGCAACTTCCAGCCATGCTCCGCAGAAATGGAGAGGATGTGGCAGGAGAGAGCTGACTACGGGCATTTCTTCTATCGCATTCCGGACGGAGAGAGTGCTGCAGATGCATACGACAGGATCTCAGGCTTCAATGAAAGTCTTTGGCGGCAATTTGGAGACGAGGACTTTCCGAGCGTCTGCGTGCTGGTCACGCACGGCTTAATGTCAAGGGTCTTTCTCATGAAATGGTATCATTGGTCTGTGGAGTATTTTGAGGACCTTCGCAACGTGAATCACTGCGAGTTCATATTGATGAACAAGGACGAGCGAGGCAAATACGTGTTGGACAACAAGCTGCGAACGTGGAGTGAACTGAAGAGGCAGAAGCGAGAGCAAGCAGCTAGAGAAGATCCGCAGCGGAGGAACACGCTGTCGCATTTTCTGAGAAAGCCTCCGTCAGAAAGCCCAAACATACCACCGGCAAGAAAATGGGGAGGCTGTATCAATGGTTGCGATCATGGCAATGATCGCTTTCCAAGGAGGACCCAGCAGAAGAAGCAACAGCAGGAGGTCGTCCTTCCTCCACCTGCTGGTCCTGCACAAGACGCCAGCAACGAGGCCAAGGATCATGCCGTGGCCGCGATCAACCGTGTTGCTGTAACAAACGCGAACACAGCACCACCTCCGACCTCTCTTCCATCACGTCCAAAACCAGCAGTGCCTTCATACCTCTTCCCAGGTCGGGATGGTGGTGGTACCGATTCAGGTGCCACGACTCCCCATGAACTGAGTGAGGATGAAAGTCCAGAATACTTTAGCACCAGTAAAGGCGGACACTTGGCAGAGGCCATGCGAAAAGCTGCTCCGCAGCGGAAAGCCACTCCTGAAGATATCGATCGATGGATCCGCGAAAGTGGAATGACCAGCCATAAAAGAGCAGATCCCCTTGGTGACGAGGCTGGATCCGCCGATGACGAACTTTCGGATGAGAATGGCCCAGTCTCCCCAAAAGCAGTAGCAATTCAGGTCGGAGACCTCGAAGCAGCAGAAAAGGAGGACAAGGGACTGAGAGGCAGCGTGTACTAATCCTGTTTTACCAAAAGACGGCATCAACGCTTGACGACTATACGACTCTTACGCACGCATCGACGAAAAAGACCATAGACATGTGTTATTCAATTGTAGAACTGTCGAGAGCAGCAGGCCGGCCACCTGATCCCACCAAATATTCCTTTCGCCGGTTTCACTAATGGAGCGCTTTTTCGACGCTTTCAGCCGTTATGCATATCGAACCCTCTTGTTCTCCGTTCAATCTAATGCTTAAGGAATCCCATGAATCTCCCCTTTCGACCAGTGGCCGGTGCTGGTGCAGCTTGCTTCTCAGTGGCACGACTGCTGCGCTTCTTCTCTCTCCTACTGACACAACATGTGAACAGAACGATACACATGCCTGCAAAGAGCAAGATGAAGCTAGCCACCAGCAGCCAGATCGCATCACCGAAGCGCGCCTTGGAGTTGGAATCATCGTCGTTGACGTGATGTCGTATGATGCCGAAGAGGGTAAAGTCGGTGGCCTATGAAGATGTGAGTAATATGCTACTCGGAGCTAGAAATCATGTAAGCTCACCATGACAATAACCACCAAAACCCAAGCCACAAAAGCTGCCAGAGCCCCCATCAAGGATGCAATCACACCTCCGCCTATCGATATTAGGAAGGCTATGAAAGCTGTGCCGCACGCGATGGGATGAAGGACCATAATCTGCCAAAAACGTCAGCACCTCGTCCAATCCCTCAATTCAAGCTCAACTCACCCTCGTAAACGAATCGCTCGTCCCAGACGAAATCTCATCGTAGTCTGTCCCATCGATCCTCGCCATCAATTGAGCCGGCTCATAACCTATGTGTCGGCCAGTGCAAACATCGCCTTTGCTGTTCGGCGCGCAGTTCGTGCAGCAGTAGCCGAACGTGCCGAAAAGCTGGCGATGAGAGTTAGCGACTGCCATGCATGAAGGAAATGATAGAATACCATGTCATAGTCATGACTCTTGGTGCTATTGCCGAGCGTGATGCGCAGGAGGCCGAGATCGTTGATTATTGGTGCTGAGATCGTGACGAAGAGCAGGAGTATACTGGCCACGAAGAGGAGGAAGACTCCGAAGAAGTGGATGTTAGCGCCGAGACGCATTTTGTCGGCGATTGATCTGGGTGCAGAAGGTGATTGTGGTCGTTTCTGGTATGTTGAAGTGTCCTGTGTGTCACTAAATTGCTTTTGAAATCGACACTGATCGACAGCAATCACTTTTCATCCACAACGGAAGGACGTAAAAGTGAGAAGAAAAGACAGCGCGCAATATACAATCAAGCAAGAAAGGACATCAGTCGTCCTCAAATGTCACAAGTGATGTGACGCATGACGCTGAGGAATGCGCGCCATGGGCACGCTTTATCACAATCAGGGTTCTTATGATTTCTGTCCAACCTGGGGCTTGGGGAACGTGTTTGCATTTGCGTTTGGTCGGGGTGCAAGCATCAAGCGTGAGGTGTTTCGATACACGAATCTCGGTTCGGCCACGCATACGATCGTACGCTGGTGCTGATATCATGTGAAAAGTGTTCTATCATTTTTGCTTTCCGAAATCCGCGATGTTGCAGAGACCCACCGCGTTGCTCTGGCTATTGCTCGCACCACGCCTTGGGCCGACATTCATTATATTTCAGAGTTTCTTGCCTCCATGCTTAGAACTATTGTACTTCCAGATTTCAGCACCCGAGTCCCGCCTCAACATCTTCTCTCTCCTCTATGGTGCCTGCATTGCCTTGGAGCTCTCTTCCCCGGACACGGCGACTGCTCCTGGCCTCCACTCTTGTGGGCTGCCTTGCTAGCCGTTCTGCGGATGCTGTCCGTGGACAATGAGGACGGGCTGTGGAGGAGATTTGACATTATCCATGGCGTTCTCTCGCTTTTGCAGGATGGTCTGCTTTTCGGAGCTCGTCGATCTGGATGCGTCTGCTAGATACTTTTTGTAGATTTGGAACGGGTGCAGTGTGATTTCTTGCTTTTGTTCGCGATTGGTAGAAAATTTGGAAGACATCAAAGTTGTTCTCAACATTCCCACTTCTCCCGAGCCTTCCTCTGCCAGGAGATTCCGAGTTGGATTCGAAGTTTACCTTGCTCCCTTACTGCCAGTATTTTGAAAGTAAATGAAACTATAACATCCTCTACGGAAAGGCCATGGACATCGATATGCAGGAATGACCACCACTGGTCCAAATGAAATAGACAAGACATACCTCCACGGTCATCACTTTCCCAGCCTTCTGGTCCAATCAGGGTCGGAACATCACAGGCCTCCTCTATCATTTCATCTGAGCTATTCACAGCATACGGGAATTCGACTCCGTGAAGGACGGAGGTGTCTTTTTTGATGTGGAACACAGCCTCAGATCGGTTCTCGCTTAACAAGAGTCATCAGGCACCAGCTGCGCCATCAGGCGCCCAGAAATGCCGCTGAAAACAAAAGCGATCGGCCGGCTGTAAAGACTCGACATTCTGTCCCTAGACACTCGAGTGAGCGAAACAAAGAACGATGTCGATTTTACCAGGAGATTTCTTGGCCAGGCCCTGTCCGCGCCTTTTCATCGTACTACTACTTTGGTCAAACAAGGCTTATTTGATTAAGCTTTTACGCCAGTTTGATGAAAAGCCTGATCTTTTAGTATTTAACCAAAAAGGCCATCTTTTGCTAAACAAGCCCTCGTAGGCTAACTACGCTCGCTGTCGTTACTATACGCTTACTATCGCATCCGGAGATAACTTGTCGTCTTATTTCCTAGTATAGAATATATAAGGAAATCCTAATACTAGTTTTCTTAGTATAAACATATAAGTAGGGGGTATATTCAAAATTCGAGAGAGGACAACAACTATAGAATAGAGGCTTCTAAAGGCAATAGTATACTTCGTAGAGGATAGATAGGTATAGAAGAGGAGATTAGACTAATATTATATATAGAAATAGCCCTAAGTCCTCCGTTTAAGCGCTAGGTTCTCCCTATATCCCCTTCTTCGACCTTACTACCTCTACTACTATATTAAGTCCTCCGTAATAGGGCCTTCGTATTAAGTCGCTTCTAGACTCTAGTAGGCACCTTCCGCTTCTTTACTACCTTATTGTTTACCTTGTCTAAGCTCTTCTATATCCTTATCTTCTTAGTTAGCTTAATCTTCCTCTTTCTAAGCGTTAGAAGTAACGGCTTATTATAGACCTAACTTAGTGTTGTTATCTCGTTACCGCTAAGCAATATAGTATTACTCGAAGGCTCTTAAGAGGTTGTAGAAGAATCTAACGGTTAGTTAATAGATAAGGAAGGCTTAGGCGCGGCGGAAGCCCTTAGCGTAGAGTCGTTATTGTAAGAAGGGTATATTAGCAGGTAGATAGGGTGGTAGTAGGTATAGGTAGTATTCGATAGAGAACTAGGAGGAGAAGGAGGAAGGCAGGCTAGTTAGCCTAACGCCAAGCGCTAAGCCCTACCTAAGGCACTAAGACCCTAGCTTTACTCGAGCTAGTTACATACTAATTACGTATAGCCTCTAATATACGCTTCCCTTCTAAAGGCCGCGCCCTCGTAGCCTTTCTATGTTCCAACCTCGACCTCCGTTACTGCTGACTTAGCAAGTCTAATAAGCTACTTAGCCGCGCTAAATTAAACACTTAACTACCTAATTATGTAACTATATCAAACCTCACTTTTAATACAATATCTAACTCTAACTGCGCTATCTCTATATATAATGAACTATAAAGTGATATATATCTATAAGAATTGAGGGCCTTCGACTAATTATAATACGAGCGCGTCTTCCCTACTACAATAGGTAGACGTACGAGGTATTGCAGCCCTGCCTCCGCTCTACGTAATGTCGTACCGAGTTCTTTGCGTCTACTCTTAAAAAACCTAGCAATGTCCGCTTCCGAGGGTTTGTCCGTTCCGAGGGTTATTATCCTTATTGTTCGTAGTTTCGCTAGCCCTAATTAGCTAGGTTTAGCAGCCTTTAAGTGTCAATCTTATCTTATCTTTTTAAAAAATACAGCTCGTCTAGTTTCTATAGGTAAAGGCTATTATAAGTATAGTAGTAGAGGTTCGCCTCGCTTAAAGGGTCGGAAAGATCGAGGAGTAACCTATTGTCCGCAAGATCGACCCCGGCTAGCTTAGCTCTATAGTTTTGCCCTCGGTTAGTTAGTCTATTAGTCTACTTAATCTTTTAAGCGGCTTAAAGTTTTAACTCGGCCTCAAAGTTTTAATTAAACCTTTAACAGGCTTAAAGCTTTAGTTAAAGTTTTGATTAAAGGTGCCTTAGGCTCGTAGTATAGGTAAGGTTGTGTCTATAGGCGTAGCGACAATAGTAAGTAATGTTGACAATAGCGGCGCTAGTCGTCTTAGCGCTAACTTTACCTCGCTTCTAATCTCCTCCTTCTACTAATAATACACTCCGCAACACCGTTACTAATATAGCCGCGCCGGCCGCGCCGTCTTCGCCGATTGCCTAGGCCTCGAGGCCCCGATAGAATAAGGGAATAAGAGGGGGCGCTAAGAGAAGGGTCTTGCAGAGTGCGCTAGTAAAGAGGTAGATTCTATAGTAGTATAGTCTTATTGTCCTTTATTGCTAACAATTGCTTGCCTCTAATTAGTTAGCTAATAGCACCCCGGGGGTAGCATTAATCCTAAGCCTTAGTAACATTACGAGCTTTTAGCCTTCTTCTTGTTCTTTACGCTAGTCTAATACTCGTCTAATAACTTAGTTATGTCCTTAAAGGAACCTTTAGCTTCCTATAAGTCCCATTTAGGTAAATAGCCTTGCTATCTTAATAGGTACTCCTTCTTGCCTTACCTAGTCCGGTGCTTTAGAATACGTTCTATAGACTACAGCTCTTTACTATCCGCTAGTATGTCTTTATATTCGGTAGGGGCTTTATCCCCCTCGCGTAGGTAATATAGCTTAAGGAGGGATATATAGAAGGTGTTATAGATAGTGTAATAAGGAGGAAGCTATAACTAATAGGCCTATACGGAGGAGCCCTTAACTTCTCGAATGCGGAATAGACCAATGTATCTTAGTACGAGCTTGGGCCTTATTTTGCCGTTAGGTAATAGGTGTTTGCGGATACGGAGGTTCTTAGTACTTAGCATAACTATATCGCCTTGCTTAAAAGTTATTAGCGTATAGTGTTTGTCATAGTAGGCCTTCTAATATACCTAGGCCTTTGCTAGTTTGTTAGCTAACTTGGCGTGAATCTCTCGTATCTTTTGAACCCTCTTAATAGCCGCTAGTATTTCGGGTACTTAACGCGCTTCCCTTTCCTTACGCTCGGCCTCGAGCGATAGGGGGTCTTATAGTATAGCAGCGTTCTAACCCATTATGGCTATGTATAGCGAAACCTTAGTAGATGAGTGTACACTATTGTTGTATACGAATTCTATAGGCTATAGGAGGTTAACCTAGTCGTTAGGGTTCTCGTTAATGTAACTGCGTAGGTACTGCTATAGGGTAGCATTCTGCCTCTCTGTTTAACCGTTAGTCTGTAGATGGAAGGCTATTAATAGCCGATGCTTTAGTCTTAGCTATAGGCATATCTCGCTCTAATAATAGGATGTGAATATCGTGCCCCGGTTAGAGACTATCCCCTTAGGGGTCCCCTAATAGGTACAGAAGATGTTGCTCTATAGAGCCTCTACTATATTAATAGTAGTCTAATCCTTCCGTGCTAGGATATATCGAGCGCCTTTAGTAAACCGATCTACTATAACAAGGATAGTATCGAAGATGTCCTTACTGCCCCTGCGTTTAGTAGGTAGGAGGCCTGTAATAAAGTCTATTATAAGCTCTACAAATGGCTTGTAAGGGATTAGTAATAAGGACAACTCGCTAAAAGGCTAATGTTTTAGTGCCTTAATACGTTAATATACGGCATACGTGTTGACGTATTCCTTTATATCCCGCTTACTATTTAGCTAGTAGTATGTACGCGATAGTAGCTCGTGCGACCTCTCTATACTATAGTAACCGGCAAGCTTACTATTATAGTGTCGCTTAAGAAGCTCTTATCGGATCGAATGCTTAGCGGGGACATAGTATCTGCCCTTAAACTTTAAATAACCTTTGTTATCGATCGACTAGTTGTTACTCTTACTAGATCGAGTCTTTCGCCTACTTACAAGCTTGTCTATACGTTTAGTAGCAAAGGCGTCCCTCTACTAAGCCTATAACAGCTTATCTATAAACGATTAACTATCCCTATTTGCAAGGTTATTTAATAGCACCCTCGCTATTGAACGAGGTACGTATTATATACATCTAATAGCACTAGCAGCCGGATTAACTATATTAGTGCTTTAATCGCTATTACTATATATAGCGATATCGACTAGGGAGTTATTATAACTTCTCCTATCTATGTTCTTAGCTCTTGCCTTAATACGCACTATTAATACAGTAAGAGCATTAATATACTTTAAGCCGTCGCGGAGTCCGGTAAGCCGCTTATCCTGCGCGTGCTTATTAACAATACGGGCTATAGCAATCTTATACTGCAGGGTTGGAAACAATGAATTAATAGATTACTAAGTCCCGCTGTCGTAATTAGGTCGCCTCGATAGGCCATTAGTAGGGTTGCTTACGCCTAGCCGATATAATACATTAAAATCAAACCTAGCGAGGTAGACGGCCTATCTAGCCTATCGACCTATAACCCTAGTAACCTTCGTAATTCTACGGAGGTTGTTATAGTCCGTGTAGACCTAAGTAGTGTGCTATGCACTATCGAGATAGTGCCTCTAATGCTTAAAGGCCTCGACAATAGCTAGGAGCTCTTGCTCGTATATCTCGTAGCGACGCTTAGTATTAATTATCTTCCTCGAGAAGAAGGCAATCGGGTGCTAGTAATTGTTATTAGCCTATTGTAACATAATAGCCGATATAGCAAACTGTAAAGCGTTAGTCTTAATGCGGATCTGTTTACTTAGTACGAAATAGTGCAATAAGGGGACTTTAGTAAAGCGCTGCTTTAAACCGTTAAAAGCGGCTCGCGCTTTGTTAGTCTATTTGAACTCTCTAGTCGGGTTGGCCTTGGTTTTAGTAAGCTCAGTTAGGGGCATTATATGCCGTAAATAGCCCTTAATAAACCGGCGGTAGAAATTAGCGAAGCCGAGGAACGATTGAAGCTCCTTAATAGACGTAGGAACAGGCTATTTAGTAATTGTTTTAATCCGATTAGGATTAGCCTTAATACCCTCGGTTAAAATAAGGAAGCTAAGGAAGGATACCTCTTTAGCAGCAAAGGTGCATTTAGAGGGTTTGTAGTATAAGCTATAGGCCCTTAGGCGATCGAGTACCTTACGGACTGTAGCCTAGTGTTCCGCAATGTTAGGAGAGTGTGTATAAACCAGGATGTTATCTAGGTAAACTATATAAAGGTGATCTAATAGGCCCGAAAGGGCCCGATTAATATAGGACTAGAACGTTATAGGGGCGTTTGCTAGCCCAAATAGCATAACTAGATACTCGAAATGGCTATAGCGGGTACGGAAGGCTGTTTTCTATTCATTACCCTTACGGATGCGG